ATTTTGAATGCTTGGCAGGACAGGAAAATGGTCCAATTCACGCACTTATCAAGAGAACATCCCTGGTCATCCCTACTGCCTCTGTTCTGGCGGACTCACTAAACACAAATGCTTCGTTTGCAAATTATGTCTGAGTGTTGGAGTGTGCCCCTGGCCATTTGTTAAAAAAAATTGTTTTAAATAAAATACAATTGTGCCATCTGGTTTGCTTAATGTAAGGAATTTGAAATGATTTATACTTTTACTTTTGATACTTAAGTATATTCTAGCAATTATATTTACTTTTGATACTTAAGTATATTTAAAATCAAATACTTTTAGACTTATACTCAAGTATTTTACTGGGCGACTTTCACTTTTACTTGAGTCATTTTCTATTAAGTATTACAATTGGGTAACCTACTTTTTCCACCACTGATTAAATCCGTTTGTCAGCTCCAGGTAGGCTACACAAGTGTCACAAATTGATTTGCAATGACTCCAGTGATACCGTCATTTCAACATATTTATTGTAGAACATGGTAGGCTACAGTAGCCTCCAGATGCAAATGTATCATTCTCCACATTTAATGTTAGTTTCATTGAGGGCTTTTCCCTATAACGGACGCATGCTAGGGAGTTCCATAACTTCCATTTCAAATTTCCACTCGTGCTGCACTCGAGACTTACTTTCAATAAGTAGTCCACTTTAGAATACAGTTTAAATCTAATGCACGCCATTATTATCAGTTCTAACGCGTTAATAGCCTGTGTTTTATGGAAAAGGGGTTGGAAAATAGGTGTCTCCATAATGACAATTTAAATAGCCAACCTACAACTGGTAAAAAGTTGTCACGACGTGCATGCATGCTGCTCTATCTCCTCTCACTCACTTGACTCTGCTGCCTGCTGCAGCGCTCAGTCGCAACACCCCCCCACCCCCCATTAAAAAAGTTATCCTATTTCGATAAAACTATACTAAATATATTCACGTTACCAAATAATTGATTAAAACACACTGTTTAGCAATGAAGGTCTACAGTAGCCTCAGCAGCACTCTGTAGGGTAGCACCATGGTGTAGCCGGAGGACAGCTAGCTTCCGTCCTCCTCTAGGTACATTGACTTCAATACAAAACCTAGGAGGCTCATGGTTCTCACCCCCTTCCATAGACTTACACAGTAACTATGTCAACTTCCGGAGGACGTCCTCTAACTGCCAAGACAACATCTATATTCAGTGATTTACGTTCCATTTCTGTGGTACAGTTGATAACCATGGCAATAAATGCTAAGAAGCCAATCTTACTGAAGCACAAATTCATATCACTCTGTATTGGCCTAGGCCTACTACTCACCCTTGACCAATCATCCTCTACTCTCTTTACTGCCTAAGCATAAGACACCTTCTGTTCTACTCTGACCCTGGCAATCTCAACCTGTCTCTCTCACACTGGACACTTCACCGGACACAATTGACACACATTTTTGTCCACCAATACTACACATTCCTTTGTCCTATGCCCTCCTGCACACTTCTGCTGCAACATGACCATAAGCTTGGTATCTGAAACACTTTAGTGGGTTCGGCACAAAAGCTATCACTGGATAACTGACATATCCTAACATGACTTTATCAGGTAAAGACTCAAAAGGACAGACAATGTCTTCTCGGTTTCACCACGCTCGCCACCGGGTCTGTGACGCACCAAACGTTGGGCGTCACAGACACATGGAATTTACAATTTCAGTTGCTCCAGAGCAAAGCAAGTCACAGATCTTGTCCCTAGTCATGTGGCACGAAGCACCTGCTCCCTCTGAACAGAAGAAATGCAGAAAATCATCACAAGTCCACTTCGAGCTACCTTCACCGATTTAACAGTTCCCAACTTATTTTCTACCCAGCCTGATAATACATATGGATCAGCCAAAACGCAGGGATCCACTTTCTCCAAAAATGTCACTACCACTAGGCCTGAATCATCCTTTGCATGACCATCGGGGCGAGGCTCGGACTCGGAGGTCTTCACCACACCTGCCACCACAAGTAATTCATTCTCACTCTCGTCAGGTTCAATTTCTGAGCCATCAGAGACAGCAGAATGTGGTTTATACTTGGCGCCATTCTGCCTCAACACACATCTACCCACTGCACTCAGCATTCTCCTTCTTCCTTGCTGTCCATAACCACGTCTATCAGTTCACCACGCTCTTGCCACGCCTTCATCCTCTGTATTACTTGTAGAGCACACGCCGATGGTGTTCCTCCAAAACCCATCTTCTGTTCCTTAGCCCAATTTACAAATCTGGCTATCTCTGTCCTACCATGCTTCACCTCACACACCTCACTGCCATCAATACAACGAGTCAAAACATGTTTTGTTTTTTATTTACAATAAATTACATTATATTAAAGTTCAAAGTGACATTCTATTATGTATCATTAACCGTTGGGGAAAAGGCTGAATCATAGGTAAAATAGCATTGGTAAATTATTTGAACGAAACAATAAAAAAACATTCAATTACTCAATTATCTGATCAACACCACAACACCAAACATAATTTTATCCAGTACATAGGCTGTGTGCTAACAGCTATTGGCTCCATGTGTCACACTTTATGTGTCATCTCATAAATGTCATGTTTATACCAGGGGTGAAAGTAAGGCGGTATGGTCTGATACAGCGTCCCCACAAAATAAATAGTGGGGGTACGCTGTACCGGTACAAATGAGCCTATCACAATCATTTAAATCAAAATGTCAAAAAAACTGTAGGCTATTACACCACTTTTTATCAGTACCGCATTTCAGAGGCATGAACAATGTGCGAATGGACATGAAAACAGGTGGTAGGCCTATGCTCCAAAATGCAATGTGGTTCAACAAAAATAAACACTGAAATTATGCCAAGGCAGAGATGAGTGGCCGACACCGAGATGCGCGCAGACAGCAGTGGACGCATAAATTCTGGCCTAATGACAAAGCTCCAAATGTCATGACACTTTTTGGTGTTTTGTGTAACAGCTGTCTCTTTCCATTCACCACTGTTTGGAGGCTGGAAAGATGTTGTGAGTGGGTAAATGGGTAGCCTAGTAAAGGAGCCTTTTGAAGTGATTGTTTGACAATCAGTTGAAAATATCATGACTGGTTTTGTTTATGCCATAATAAAAGGTCATACATTTTACAAGTTCAATCTTAATGACAAGGCCCAGAGAGATCCTATTGAATTGATAGGGATTCTATATGTAATTCTATGAATAGGTCCATACACATTTTTCAGGGTAAGAGGTCCGTACCGGGAATAACTTAATTATACTTTCACCCCTGGTTTATACTCAGAGTATGTACAGTGGGGGAAAAAAGTATTTAGTCAGCCACCAATTGTGCAAGTTCTCCCACTTAAAAAGATGAGAGAGGCCTGTAATTTTCATCATAGGTACACGTCAACTATGACAGACAAAATGAGAGAAAAATATCCAGAAAATCACATTGTAGGATTTTTAATGAATTTATTTGCAAATTATGGTGGGAAATAAGTATTTGGTCAATAACAAAAGTTTCTCAATACTTTGTTATATACCCTTTGTTGGCAATGACACAGGTCAAACGTTTTCTGTAAGTCTTCACAAGGTTTTCACACACTGTTGCTGGTATTTTGGCCCATTCCTCCATGCAGATCTCCTCTAGAGCAGTGGTGTTTTAGGGCTGTCGCTGGGCAACACGGACTTTCAACTACCTCCAAAGATTTTCTATGGGGTTGAGATCTGGAGACTGGCTAGGCCACTCCAGGACCTTGAAATGCTTCTTACGAAGCCACTCCTTCGTTGCCCGGGCGGTGTGTTTGGGATCATTGTCATGCTGAAAGACCCAGCCACGTTTCATCTTCAATGCCCTTGCTGATGGAAGGAGGTTTTCACTCAAAATCTCACGATACATGGCCCCATTCATTCTTTCCTTTACACGGATCAGTCGTCCTGGTCCCTTTGCAGAAAAACAGCCCCAAAGCATGATGTTTCCACCCCCATGCTTCACAGTAGGTATGGTGTTCTTTGGATGCAACTCAGCATTCTTTGTCCTCCAAACACGACGAGTTGAGTTTTTACCAAAAAGTTATATTTTGGTTTCATCTGACCATATGACATTCTCCCAATCCTCTTCTGGATCATCCAAATGCACTCTAGCAAACTTCAGACGGGCCTGGACATGTACTGGCTTAAGCAGGGGGACATGTCTGGCACTGCAGGATTTGAGTCCCTGGCGGTGTAGTGTGTTACTGATGGTAGGCTTTGTTACTTTGGTCCCAGCTCTCTGCAGGTCATTCACTAGGTCCCCCCGTGTGGTTCTGGGATTTTTGCTCACCGTTCTTGTGATCATTTTGACCCCACGGGGTGAGATCTTGCGTGGAGCCCCAGATCGAGGGAGATTATCAGTGGTCTTGTGTCTTCCATTTCCTAATAATTGCTCCCACAGTTGATTTCTTCAAACCAAGCTGCTTACCTATTGCAGATTCAGTCTTCCCAGCCTGGTGCAGGTCTACAATTTTGTTTCTGGTGTCCTTTGACAGCTCTTTGGTCTTGGCCATAGTGGAGTTTGGAGTGTGACTGTTTGAGGTTGTGGACATGTGTCTTTTATACTGATAACAAGTTCAAACAGGTGCCATTAATACAGGTAACGAGTGGAGGACAGAGGAGCCTCTTAAAGAAGAAGTTACAGGTCTGTGAGAGCCAGAAATCTTGCTTGTTTGTAGGTGACCAAATACTTATTTTCCACCATAATTTGCAAATAAATTCATAAAAAATCCTACAATGTGATTTTCTGGAAAAAAAAATCTAAATTTGTCTGTCATAGTTGACGTGTACCTATGATGAAAATTACAGGCCTCTCTCATCTTTTTAAGTGGGAGAACTTGCACAATTGGTGGCTGACTAAATACTTTTTTCCCCCACTGTATGGGTTGAATGGGACATGGTCTGCAAACACTATTTAAAGTATTCTGGAATGTGTTGCATGTCCCACAGTATCAGTTGAGGTTTGTCTCCATCATCTTTTGACTGGAAAGGTCTTTCACAGAGGAGCGCTCTTGGCGGCCCTTACGTGAAAGGACAAGAAACCACAGGAACAAGAAGACACCTGTAGTAGGAATAATTTTGGAGGGATTGAAAAGCAACAAATCACCCAGTGATCACTCAGATTTAAAGCAGTCAATCATATATCTTTCCTTAGAGAGGTTGTGTGTGATAGGATACTGACCCTGGAAGCAGTTGAATATACTGAAGAGGTACAGTCCAGGGAGAGAAAGGGGGCCGTAGGTGCAGAACGCCAGCCCCCATGGTACTCCTAGCACACAGCTGAGCCCCAGGACCGTGGCGCAGTCCTTCCACATCCTACCCTTCCCTCTCTTCCCCCATAGCTTCACCACCACCACACCTAGCATGGCTGTGTTGAAGAGGAAGACCAGGCCCAAGTATCCACTCACTGTGACGTAGCTGACCACCACTCCAGGGCTGTCTGTAGCACTGCTTATCCAACATCTGCAGTTAGAAAAGAGTCCATTTGAACCTTTGTTTGTTTTCATGGCTACGTATATACTACCAGAGTAGGTGTGTCCAAACCTTTGACTGGTACTGTATATTTAAATATTAACTTCTTGTGACAAAAGTTTGGACACACCTACTCATTCAAGGGTTTTTCTTTATTTTTACTATTGTCTACATTGTAGAATAATAGTGAAGAGATCAAAACTATGAAATAACACATATGGAAACATGTAGTAACCAAAAAGTGTTAAACAAATCAAAATAGATTCTTCAAATAGCCACCATTTGCCTTGTTGACAGCTTTGCACACTCTTGGCATTCTCTCAACCAGCTTCATGAGGTAGTCACCTGGAATTCATTTCAATTAACAGGTATGCCTTCTTAAAAGTTAATTTGTGGAATTTATTTCCGTCTTAATACGTTTGAGCCAATCAGGTGTGTTGTGACAAGGTAGGGGGTGTATACAGAAGATAGCCCTATTTGGTAAAAGACCAAGTCTATTTTATGGCAAGAACAGCTCATTTAAGCAAAGACAAACGACAGTCCATCATTACTTTAAGACATGAAGGTCAGTCAATCTGGAAAATTTCAAGAACTTTTAAAGTTTCTTCAAGTGCAGTCACAAAAACCATCAAGCGCTATGATGAAACTGGCTCTCATGAGGACCGCCACAGGAATGGAAGACCCAGAGTTACCTCTGCTGCAGAGGATAAGTTCATTAGAGTTACCAGCCTCAGAAATTGCAGGCCAAATAAATGGTTCACAGAGTTCAAGTAACAGACACATCTCAACATCAACTGTTCAGAGAAGAGTGTGTGAATCAGGCCTTCATGGTTGAATTGCTGCAAAGAAACCACTACTAAAGGACACCAATAAGAAGAAGAGGCCTGCTTGGGCCAAGAAACACACGCAATGGACATTAGACCGGTGGACATTTGTCCTTTGGTCTGGAGTCCAAATTGGAGATTTTTGGTTCAAACCGCCGTGTCTTTGTGAGACGCGTTGTGGGTGAACGGATTATCTCCGCATGTATAGTTCCCACCGTAAAGCATGGACACACTTAACCAGCATTGCTACCACAGCATTCTGCAGCGATACGCCATCTCATCTGGTTTGCGCTTAGTGGGACTATAATTTGTTTTTCAACAGGACAATGACCCAACACACCTCCAGGCTGTATAAGGGCTATTTTACCAAGAAGGAGAGTGATGGAGTGCTGCATCAGATGACCTGGCCTCCACAATCCCCCGACCTCAACCCAATTGAGATGGTTTGTGATGAGTCAGACGGCAGAGTGAAGAAATAGCAGCCAACAAGTGCTCAGCATATGTGGGAACTCCTTAAAGACTGTTGGAAAAGCATTCCAGGTGAAGCTGGTTGAGAGAATGCCAAGCGTGTGCAAAGCTGTCATCAAGGCAAAGGGTGGCTACTTTGAGGAATCTTAAATATAAAATATATTTTGATTTGTTTAACACTTTTTTGGTTACTACATGATTCCATATGTGTTATTTCATAGTTTTGATGTCTTTACTATTATTCTACAATGTAGACAATAGTAAAAATAAAGAAAAACCCTGGAATGAGTAGGTGTGTCCAAACCTTTGACTGGTACTGTATATTTAAATATTAACTTCTTGTGACAAAATACTGTGAATTAAACCTTACATGTCTGTTGATGAGCCATTATTGTCACCCTTCATGTAGAAACTATGTCTGCCGTAGACTCCTGAGAAACCACAGGCTACCACAGTCGCAGTGGGTATGCCTGGAATCAGGGACTGCATTTAGACTATACATTGAATGGTATAGAATATTGCTCAACTGTCAAAGTAAAAAATGCTTAGAAGTGTAACTTGTGATCTCACCCCATCCAACCAGGCTCAGTTTGAGCAGGTATTTGCTGATATAGATGTTGAAGATGCGGACTAACAGCATGTAGAGATGGAAGCCTTCAATAGCCAACCAGGTGAAGGTGGACAGGAGAGCCCAGTGCAGTATCAACCCAAAGGCCAGACAGACACGTCCCTCAGCCCCATCAGCCTCATACCACACCCACCACTCGCTCAAGAGGTAGGAGAGGTGCAGAAACAGGAGTGCTCCTGTCAGCTGCACATGAATACCTATTGACTGTTCAGAACGCCCCTTCCTATGGGGACAGAAAACAAGAGGCTAAGGCCCACAGAGATGTTTATATAATGTATAATTTATTTATGATCTATTTCTATGATCAGGCCTTTGTCTGTGGACATCTGTGAGTGAGTTCTCTCGCTTACCTCTACTTTGAATTTAATTGCTAAATATTTTTGACACATATACGTTTGTGAATGTGTAGCTGCATTGTGAATGGTTTAACTACTCTGTTTATTTTCAAGGAAGAGAGAACACTTACCTAAGACATATGTACATGACAAGGGTTACTGTTGTGAAAACCACAGTGAATGATGAACCAATGTAGGAGATGTAGCCTAGGTTGGCAGCATTCACAGGGTCTACAGACAACTTTGAGTTCTGTCAGTGGGAAAATAGGATAAGGAATCAAGAGTATGCTACCAGCTAGGACTGACCCCCCCCCCCCCCCCCCCCCACCTCCCCCCCCCCCCAAAAAAAAATATTTTTTTTGTAATTATTAAAGTGATAGTTCACCCAAGTTAACGTTTTAGCATCTGTGGTACAAATCCAATGCAAGTCAATGGTACCTGTTAGCATTTTTCACACTTCATGTCCAAATTATCCTAAAGTATCTACAATTGATTGCGTAGCACAATTAAGTTACTTATAGATGATTTGGACATGAAGCACAAAATATGCTAATATCTGTATCATTGACTTGCATTGGATTTTTGCCACAAATGCTAAAACATTAGCATTTGGAAACAGTGGCCAGGTAAACAAACCAAAGCATGGATTGCTGTCATACCTTGTCGTTAGACTGCTTATAGAGTAAGGAAACCAATATGATATGTTGTAATTTGGGTGAACTATCCATTTAAAGTGAGTGTTTTGAAGACTCTATATCAGTCTTTGCATGTGTAACCGGTGTGAAATGGCTAGCTAGTTAGCGGTGCGCACTAGTAGCGTTTCAATCGGTGACGTCACTCGCTCTGAGACCTTGAAGTAGTTGTTTCCCTTGCTCTGCAAGGGCTGCGGCTTTTGTGGAGCGACGGGTAACGGTGCTTCGAGGGTGACTGTTGTCGATGTGTGCAGAGGGTCCCTGGTTCAAGCCCAGGTAGGGGTGAGGAGAGGTACAGAAGCAACACTGTTACATTGATGCTGTTGACCCGGATCACTGGTTGCTGCGGAAAAGGAGGAGGTCAAAAGGGGGGTGAGTGTAACCGGTGTGAAATGGCTAGCTAGTTAGCGGTGCGCACTAGTAGCGTTTCAATCGGTGACGTCACTCGCTCTGAGACCTTGAAGTAGTTGTTTCCCTTGCTCTGCAAGGGCCGCGGCTTTTGTGGAGCGACGGATAACGGTGCTTCGAGGGTGACTGTTGTCGATGTGTGCAGATGGTCCCTGGTTCAAGCCCAGGTAGGGGCGAGGAGAGGGACGGAAGCAACACTATTACACATGTATTACACAGCTTTGTATAGAGTTATTCAAATTATCAAAGTAATGATCTATACAGTGGGGGAAAAAAGTATTTAGTCAACCACCAATTGTGCAAGTTCTCCCACTTAAAAAGATGAGAGAGGCCTGTAATTTTCATCATAGGTACACGTCAACTATGACAGACAAAATGAGAGAAAAAAAATCCAGAAAATCACATTGTAGGATTTTTAATGAATTTATTTGCAAATTATGGTGGAAAATAAGTATTTGGTCAATAACAAAAGTTTCTCAATACTTTGTTATATACCCTTTGTTGGCAATGACACAGGTCAAACGTTTTCTGTAAGTCTTCACAAGGTTTTCACACACTGTTGCTGGTATTTTGGCCCATTCCTCCATGCAGATCTCCTCTAGAGCAGTGATGTTTTGGGGCTGTCGCTGGGCAACACGGACTTTCAACTCCCTCCAAAGATTTTCTATGGGGTTGAGATCTGGAGACTGGCTAGGCCACTCCAGGACCTTGAAATGCTTCTTACGAAGCCACTCCTTCGTTGCCCGGGCGGTGTGTTTGGGATCATTGTCATGCTGAAAGACCCAGCCACGTTTCATCTTCAATGCCCTTGCTGATGGAAGGAGGTTTTCACTCAAAATCTCACGATACATGGCCCCATTCTTTCTTTCCTTTACACGGATCAGTCGTCCTGGTCCCTTTGCAGAAAAACAGCCCCAAAGCATGATGTTTCCACCCCCATGCTTCACAGTAGGTATGGTGTTCTTTGGATGCAACTCAGCATTCTTTGTCCTCCAAACACGACGAGTTGAGTTTTTACCAAAAAGTTATATTTTGGTTTCATCTGACCATATGACATTCTCCCAATACCTTCTGGATCATCCAAATGCACTCTAGCAAACTTCAGACGGGCCTGGACATGTACTGGCATAAGCAGGGGGACACGTCTTGCACTGCAGGATTTGAGTCCCTGCCGGCGTAGTGTGTTACTGATGGTAGGCTTTGTTACTTTGGTCCCAGCTCTCTGCAGGTCATTCACTAGGTCCCCCCTCGTGTGGTTCTGGGATTTTTGCTCACCGTTCTTGTGATCATTTTGACCCCACGGGGTGAGATCTTGCGTGGAGCCCCAGATCGAGGGAGATTATCAGTGGTCTTGTATGTCTTCCATTTCCTAATAATTGCTCCCACAGTTGATTTCTTCAAACCAAGCTGCTTACCTATTGCAGATTCAGTCTTCCCAGCCTGGTGCAGGTCTACAATTTTGTTTCTGGTGTCCTTTGACAGCTCTTTGGTCTTGGCCATAGTGGAGTTTGGAGTGTGACTGTTTGAGGTTGTGGACAGGTGTCTTTTATATTGATAACAAGTTCAAACAGGTGCCATTAATACAGGTAACGAGTGGAGGACAGAGGAGCCTCTTAAAGAAGAAGTTACAGGTCTGTGAGAGCCAGAAATCTTGCTTGTTTGTAGGTGACCAAATACTTATTTTCCACCATAATTTGCAAATAAATTCATTAAAAATCCTACAATGTGATTTTCTGGATTTTTTTTCTCTCAATTTGTCTGTCATAGTTGACGTGTACCTATGATGAAAATTACAGGCCTCTCTCATCTTTTTAAGTGGGAGAACTTGCACAATTGGTGGCTGACTAAATACTTTTTCCCCCCACTGTATATACAACTGTAGCACATGTTTACCACAAGCACTGCAAAGAAGCTGAGATGGTTGCAGCTGCACACAAACTCTCCATGAATGAGGCTTGTAATACAACCCTCTGAGCTCCAGTCCCCTGCAGACAGAAAAGCCACAAATGTCACACACACACACACCTAGCAAAGGGAGTTCAACACACACACACACACACACAAACACCCACATACACAGGAAAATAACATGATAGTCTACAGCAGTCATTCAACCATTAAAAGATGAGTTGAGCCATATCCCCCACCTTCGCCATTATTATTTTCTGAGTCCTTCCAGAAAACACAAGTCCCTCTCTCAGTCTGAAACAAAGAATGTAATGTAAAATGTATGGTTACTTCATTGAAGTGTAGAATATTTGTTTTAGAGATAGGTGCACAGTCACAGTCTTATTCCTCCAGTTAGTGTCAAGTGGCCTCCTTTCCACAGTCTGTCCATTCACCCACCACATTTGTGTTTCTGAAGGCGATTCTGACAGGCTGGTCAAGGTCACTCACACCGTGGTCCCCCACCCTCACAGCCAGCACAGACTGCCCCAGGACCTCCCCTGATCTAGAGCCTCGAACTGGACCAAGCTGTTGGCAACATTGGAGGGAAGTGCAACAGAATGCAGCAAAAGAGGAGCAAATGTCATTCAGAGAGGTCATATGTGCCTTTTACTTTCATAAAATCCTTCCTCAAGGGCCTTGTAAGAAACATTTGTCTTAAATGACTTCATGATACTAAATAATATATTCATTGTTTTACTGTAGTGATAAATTGTATACCTGATATGGCAGCAGTGATACTTTTACATCCAATACCATTGGTGGTTTCAGCTAAAACTAAGAATAGCCTAAGAGGCAGTTACCAACCCTGAATAGAGAGCTGTTGAGTACAGCCATAGTAATGTGCACAGTGCTATGAGAGACGTTCCTCTTGCTTCTCTGGAGGGCATGTGCAGGGATGTGCACTCTGTGTCCAGAATCCGTGCTCTCTTCTGCCTATGGTGGAATTAATGGACATTACAATTTTGTGTGCAACATATCATTGGAAATACCCAAAATTGCAATATGCAACAGTAAAAAAAACATGAGATTAGCTTGTATCGGAAGTCTTCACTGTTGCTGCACCCCGGTATACAGTGGGGAGAACAAGTATTTGATACACTGCCGATGTTGAAGGTTTTCCTACGTACAAAGCATGTAGAGGTCTGTAATTTTTATCATAGGTACACTTCAACTGTGAGAGTCGGAATCTAACACAAAAATCCAGAAAATCACATTGTATGATTTTTAAGTAATTAAAAATTGCATGACATAAGTATTTGATCACCTACCAACCAGTAAGAATTCCGGCTCTCACAGACCTGTTAGTTTTTCTTTAAGAAGCCCCCCTGTTCTCCACTCATTACCTGTATTAACTGCACCTGTTTGAACTCGTTACCTGTATAAAAGACACCTGTCCACACACTCAATCAAACAGACTCCAACCTCTCCACAATGGCCAAGACCAGAGAGCTGTGTAACGACATCAGGGATAAAATTGTAGACCTGCACAAGGCTGGGATGGGCTACAGGACAATAGGCAAGCAGCTTGGTGAGAAGGCAACAACTGTTGGCGCAATTATTAGAAAATGGAAGAAGTTCAAGATGACGGTCAATCACCCTCGGTCTGGGGCTCCATGCAAGATCTCACCTCATGGGGCATCAATGATCATGAGGAAGGTGAGGGATCAGCCCAGAACTACACGGCAGGACCTGGTCAATGACCTGAAGAGAGCTGGGACCACAGTCTCAAAGAAAACCATTAGTAACACACTACGCCGTCATGGATTAAAATCCTGCAGCGCACGCAAGGTCCCCCTGCTCAAGCCAGCGCATGTCCAGGCCCGTCTGAAGTTTGCCATTGACCATCCGGATGATCCAGAGGAGAAATGGGAGAAGGTCATGTGGTCTGATGAGACAAAAATAAAGCTTTTTGGTCTAAACTCCACTCGCCGTGTTTGGAGGAAGAAGAAGGATGAGTACAACCCCAAGAACACCATCCCAACCGTGAAGCATGGAAGTGGAAACATCATTCTTTGGGGATGCTTTTCTGCAAAGGGGACAGGACGACTGCACCGTATTGAGGGGAGGATGGATGAGGCCATGTATCGCGAGATCTTGGCCAACAACCTCCTTCCCTCAGTAAGAGCATTGAAGATGGGTCGTGGCTGGGTCTTCCAGCATGACAACGACCCGAAACACACAGCCAGGGCAACTAAGGAGTGGCTCCGTAAGAAGCATCTCAAGGTCCGGGAGTGGCCTAGCCAGTCTCCAGACCTGAACCCAATAGAAAATATTTGGAGGGAGCTGAAAGTCCGTATTGCCCAGCGACAGCCCCGAAACCTGAAGGATCTGGAGAAGGTCTGTATGGAGGAGTGGGCCAAAATCCCTGCTGCAGTGTGTGCAAACCTGGTCAAGACCTACAGGAAACGTATGATCTCTTTAATTGCAAACAAATGTTTCTGTACCAAATATTAAGTTCTGCTTTTCTGATGTATCAAATACTTATGTCATGCAATAAAATGCAAATTAATTACTTAAAAATCATACAATGTGATCTTCTGGATTTTTGTTTTAGATTTCGTCTCTCACAGTTTAAGTGTACCTATGATAAAAATTACAGACCTCTACATGCTTTGTAAGTAGGAAAACCTGCAAAATCGGCAGTGTATCAAATACTTGTTCTCCCCACTGTATATGACTGAACCAGAAGGTTGTGAGATCAACAGCAATGTATTAATGATCTCACCTGGTTAGATGAGTTGACAGACCATCTGTAGAAGTTTGGGATGGGCATTCTGGCCTTAACAGTGCACCTTGTAATTCTATCCTCATAACACCTACCAAAAACACAAACCCCTTTCTTATATTCAACTAATAAATGGATACAAATGGATATAAAATCCTGTGTACCTCAGTTGGTAAGAGCATGGCTCTTGCAACGCCAGGGTTGTGGGTTCCTTTCCCACAGGGGTCCAGTATATGAATGTACAAATGTATGCACTCACTACTGTAAGTTGCTCTGGATAAGAGCGCTAAGTGACTAAAATGTAAACATAATGGACATTGCAATATGGACTAGCTAAATGTTTAACTTTGTAGTTAAAAGGCTTAACAGGTATGTCAATCCATGGCATGTTAAAACCCCCTTACAATAGAGGATAAGGATAGGTGCAAGACTTTTATTGGAGTACCTGGTCCATGCCACTTCTTTGCGAAGACAATCTTCAAGAGCATCTTTACAGTTTGGAAGATTGTCTGGAAACGTTATTGACAAGGTTAGCCATTATAGTGCATGTATCACTCTGAAAATGGCAATGCTTCATCTCAAGACAATCACATTAAAACAACCAAATCAAAAACTACTGTAGGCACTCTAGCACTAAAGCCAATGTTGGTGACAAAAACTCAGTGGGGACCACGTCAATCTGGGGTGGCAAACCCTGGTCCTCGAGAGCCGCAGTGAGTGCAAGCTTTTTTTCAGCCAAGTTGAGACACACCTGGTTGAACTAATCACGTATATTTAACAGACCTTGATTAGGTATCTTATTTAAATATGACAGCTCTCCTGGCCAGGGTTGGCCAATCCAGATTTAATATTTAACTGGTCCACCTCTTTTCACTGATGTCCATGAATGTCCAAAAATGTTTACACAACCTCAACCTATACTCATCCACATGTGCCATCCCTTTTAACACTTGGTCAAAACATAGAAACAAAACAGGAGCTTACCATTGGTACTCAGGGTTGCAGGGATGCATATAAATATGAGAATGAAATCACTGGTCTTCATCACTCTCTCCCTCTTTCAATCTGTGACCTCTGATGGGTTAAAGGTCTGTCTTCTTAGTTGATCTTCGCTTGTGTGTTGATGTTTCCTGGTTTCATATCGTCACTACAATTACAGATGGGGTTGGACATATTTGCACATGCAGGAAGTTGATTTCTTTATCAAATTCCACGATAGTCTACTTGGGTGAATACAAGTAGGCTATTGTAAACACAGCATGTAATGAATACAACACTTTTATTAGTGATTGATTCAATTTATTAAACAATAAAATAAAATAAAAACATACTGTACATAAGACGCCTCCACACACAATTTAACAAGAATAACACAATAAAGCTTGAAAGCTTATTTCCTTTATAGTCCTTTTGGGGGGGAAGGGTTGGTGTGTGAGGGGTTAATGTTAGGTAAATCAATATATTTAAAACATTTCAGTGAGAATCAGAAAAAAATCCTAGATGGTGGCATTTGTCTCATACAGACATTCATCATTACAACAACATCTCTAAGATTCATTCTGCCACTCACCAGAACATTACTAGAAAAGAGGATCTCTGTTTCACAATCATAAGGAAATGGTCAATCGCGAGCGCATTTGAGAACCTATTGCTCACAGTGAGACACTTTCTGCAGAAGTGATATTAGTTAAAATGTAAAAAAAACATTACAAGATTGCAACACACTTTCCATAGTTGGCTAGACTGTAGAAAAGCAAGGGATAGATTGTGAAACTAATATTGATGAGGCTGTGTGAAAAGGTCTATCACATAAGAGTGCTGTGTCTCAACGTGTTGAGAATATGTGGGCTTTATCCTGACTTGCCCTCATGGGCTGAGGATTAAAGATGCCGGCTAGGCAAAGGTTTGAACACCCCCTCTCCTGGGGGCCAGTTTTATGACCGGTCGTGAATACCGTGCAGACTTTCTCTTCCTTGCCATGAAGTATTGGGAGAAAGGACCCCTTTGTTAACACAGAGATTCTTCACGCCAAAACTCCGACATCCAAAAGTGGATAATGAAACAATATTTCTACCACAAAGAATGTGGGAAATGGTCGGTGGGGACTTAAAGAACAATCATGTCGAATTCGTTACTATGTTGTGATGTCATTAAAGATGGTGGAACAACATAACTGTATATCTGGGGGTGTACACTTCCCAGTTATGGGATTTGCATCTAATTGTTGTAGAAAACGAATGATTAAGTATAATAATATTTTTGTGAAGATAACAATGTGATTTTAGCATTCTAGATGAGATGATTGTTTTCCATATTGACTTGTTCTCAGTCAGTGGCCACGCCCAGATGAGCATAAACATGATGAAACGCCCACTTTTCTACTCAAGTATAAAACCCCTCCTGACGAAATTCACCTCAGACCAAGCAGATTACGGTATAAGACGGATGTTGCAAATGGTTGAATTTCTACCAGACCAGGAAGCGTGAAGCTGAAGCTACACGGCTTAAAATGGTTAGACCAAGAAGACCAGGAAGCGTGAAGCTGAAGCTATACGGCTTAAAATGGTTAGACCAAGCAGACTATGGTATAAGCCGGATGTAGCATGTGGTTGAACGTCTACAGACCAGCAGACGTGAAGCGTGAGCTATACTTTACAAAATGGTTTAAACTCTACAGACCAGCCGACATGCAGCACGAGCTGAATATGGGAAAATTGTGAAACTCTGAAACTCTCAACCTCTACACGAGGTGAAGAAGAAGAGAATGTACTAGACCTTATCATCTCAGTCTGCAGCTGGCATGTATAGTCGTCTAGAGAACTTTCACTAAAGACACGAGTTGGGAAGGACAATCCCTCTCCGACAACCGTTGGTACATCTGAAGTATCTATCTAACAGATCAACTCTACGAACTACAGGGTACGCTGAAGTATCCATTCTAACAACCACTACAACCAGAAACTCTACCAAGGACATTGGGATCTCTGGTGGGCAAACCAGAGTCCTACATCATCAACTCAACTATCGAGGACAGCTACACGTAAATACATGTTGCATTTCTAATCCGAATGAGCGATGATTAGGGTTCTAAGCATTTGTATTTCCGTGAGCGTAGTTTACAAATGTCCGATAGGTGAATTCCTTTGTCTCCTCCCCCCCCCCCCCCCCCTCTCCTTTCCACTCTGACCCTCCTTCTACCCAAGCATTCATGCTATTGTTAGTCCAGTCCACTAGGGACCGGTTTTCATTGTATTACGTAAGTAATCAATAACCTGTGTGTGTGTGTGTGTGTGTGTTTGTATTGTGTTAGTTAGTAAATAAGTAAATAATTAAGCCAATTTGTGTATTGCTGATTCATCAATAAGGTTAGGGTTCTTGCAGGTTCAAGGATTATGCGGCATTCAGAATGAGACTGATAAGAGGTAATTATTTGATAAGTGACTTATTGATATATAACATATATATATATCGAAGAGTTTAATTTGGGAGATGGTAACTCGTTAAACAACTTATTCCGTGATGCCCCAAATTCATAATGAGTTAATTGTTACATGATTAATGTGACAATTAAACATAGTTAGGTGATTAGATAAATAACAGTCATACATTAAAGTAAGTCACGTCACGACAACATTATCATAACTAATTTGAAACAGAATATTGACAGAATCATAAAAAAATATATATATATATGTGCCTTATTATCAGTACAGTTGAGAAGCTAATTTTATTTTGCTTTACAACAGCAATCACAGAGAAACCTCATGGTATGCAGGAAACTAAATCCTTTAGTTTTTCACTGACTAATTATGCAACAGTCAGTTCAGCAACTTGATAATCATAAACAACATACACTTCAAAGCACTTTCCCAATAAATGCATTGCAATGATACAGAAGAAAATACATCAACACAACCAGTGTAGAAACCATAACTCAATTTGAAAGAGACAATGCTTATGCCATTAGACGCAGAGCAAAAACTCCCCTTGCCATCTAAGTAGACATGAGTGATCTCCATTGTGGACAGACATTGTTTACTGGTAGGAGATGTCGCCAGGGAACATCTCCTCCTTGGGTTTGGCTGTAGAGGTGTTCAGAGCTGCTGATGTGCTCTTGGTGTTCGCCGCCCGCTCCCTGTCTTTCCCGGCAGTGCCACAGATCCATAGGAATATAAAGAATCCTTAGAGAGAGAAACACAGACAGATCATCACCCAAACTGCACCCACATAGGTGCTCAATAACAGGTGCTTTCAAACTATTCAAGATCATGGGGCTGATTAGAGTTAGTGTGATTGAGAATCCTAAACATCACACGCCCTCCTTTTCTCTACCTGAGACTCCTCTCCCTTTGTACATAATCTTATTTTATCTCCACTCTCTTCCCTTCCACCCCTCTACATCAGCTTTACTATCTCTTTCTGTCTGTCCCTGTCTTTCGTGATGTTCCCTGGGTCACCTTGGAGGGAGTTGAAGATGCTGAACAGGTAGAGGATGGGAAGGTTGACATAGCCGTAGCTGAGGAAGGCCAGGCCCCAGGTGATGCCCAGCAGGCAGGTCAGACCCAGGACGGTGCAGATGTCCTTCCAGGCCAGGCTTGCCTTCCCAGGCTTGCCCTTACTGCCATAGCGCTGCAGCTGGCAGATCCGGGTGGTCACCGTTAACAGAATGCCAGAGTTAAGGACAAAGATGAGGGTGAAGTAGGCCAGGTTCATAGTGTAGAAGAAGGGGATGTCCATGATCCAGCAGCTGGGGTGGGGAGAGAGTGTTGGTTAAAATGCAGTGACATAGTGATTAAACAGTGATTCTATTGGACAAACTGCATCTGGTCTTTACCAAACACATAATCACCTTGTCCTTAATATTCACCTATTGATCTCCAAATAGATCGTTGAATAGGAACATAAATATACAACTGTACATTAGGCCACCGCTGAAATTGTATTGATATAAAGTGAACATTCAAAAAGAGAAAGATAACATTTACTCACATTGTATTTGTTTGGTTAGTGTCTGCCATAGTCATTTTTGTAGGTCCATATAATGGTTTGATATCCTTGACTGCCAATGAAACTCCCACAATGATACCAGGGACTCCTGAACAGTGCACACACAGGATGAGTGTATTCACATTTCTGACCACGGTTGCATGTACGCAATATCTTGTTTCACTGTCGCTCGCACCTGAATGAGCATGTTTATAACTGATTCATTTACCCCAGCCAATGACAGACAGCTTGGCCATATAGTGTCGGTAGTAAGTGTTGAACACCTTGACCAGGAGGAGATACAGGTGGACAGCTTCAATGGCCATCCAGGTGAAACAGCAGAGGAGGCTGTAGTGAATGGCCGCCGCAATGAAGATACACATGCCTCCGATGCCCAGACTGGCCCCCCACTCGTTGAGCAGGAAGGAGGTGTTGAGCAGGAACAAAGCCCCGCTCAGTGACACGTGGATGCTGTTGGCGTTGTCCACCCTGGACTTCCTAAAGTAAGGGTACAATAGTATCAGACAACTGATATAACAGGGTGGATAGATAGACTAATATGGGTGCAGTCATATACAGACGCAGGGATAATGCTTAAATAGACATGGGATAAAACATACAACTGAAGAGATACAATTGAATATTGAGAAAGAAGGGAAAAGAGGGCACACAACATTTGGGTGAGGTGGGGTCACATACGCGGTAATGACGTAGGTGAGGAGCGATATGGCGGTGAAGAAGGCAGACAAGCCACAGCCAATATAGCTGATGTAAGACAAGACCTGCCAGTGCACACTGTCAATAGATAGGTCAGCGGTCTGGAGGGGGTAAGAATGGATAAAGCATGACGACTATCACCAGATTACATTTACGATAGAATGATGTGGATAGGTAAATAGATTGATATAAATTGATCACCAGTAGCACGGCAAATGGAGTAGCATGGTTACAGATACACTCCACCACACTGTTGTTGATCACACTGTTGTTGATCTTAGTAACACATCCATCCGTTTTCCAAAAGACAGTGTCAGGGAGGTTTATGTTCCCTTTTTGGAAGAGAGTACAATTTCTAGTCATTCACAAATGCAGTCAGTATGTGTACAGCTTATATTGCCATATGAGACAACAACAAAATGTTCTGCAAAGGACTGTGGTATGTAAAGGACTGTAGTTTTATGCTAACATAGTTACTGTAGGCCTACATACTGTAACAGAAATATACACACCATATTCATTGAAATATTTACATGACAGGCTGTAATTCACCTGTAGAAAAAAACAACTGCAACTGTAAGATACACAAATGCAATAATATAATCAACTATGAACTACAGTGAGCTCCAAAAGTATTGGGACAGTGATACATGTTTTGTTGTTTTGGCTCTGTACGCTTTAATTTGAGGGTATTTTCATCCATATCGGGTGAACCGTTTATAATAATAATAATGATGAGTGAGAAAGTTACAGATGTACAAATATCATACCCCCAAGACATGATAAACTCTCACCATTACAATAACAGGGGAGGTTAGCATTTTTGTGGGGGAATTATATTTGTGCATCTGTAACTTTCTCACTCATCGTTATTCACGATTCATTCAGGACTTTCCGTAATCATGGTAGCATCCACATTAATGTGTTAAAGTGTTTAGAAACATATTCTATTGTTATTTACAATAAAAGTGACTCCAAAATGACACAATACATTATTTAACATTAATTTATATTGGGCACAAAGTAATCTGAAACACAACCAAAACAAACAACAAATGCATCCAACAAGTTTGTAGATTCACAAGCTTGATGTAATCATTGCGTGCTAGGAATATGGGACCAAATACTAAACTTTTGACTACTTTAATACACATATAAATTAATTAGTCCCAATACCTTTGGTCCCCTAAAATGGAGAGACTATGTACAAAAAGGGCTGTAATTTCTAAACAGTTCACCCAATATGGATGAAAATTAAAGCTGACAGTCTGCACTTTAACCTCATAGTCATTGACTCTGTACTCATAGTCCTGGAGTACAGAGCCAAAACAACCAAAAATGTGTCACTGTCCAAATACATTTGGAGTCAATTACAGGAACATCCTAAATCTTATGATGACAATTTACTGGTATTTTAGGGTCAAGCAACTTGAACTTCATCTTCAGTGGAGTGATCAAGTTCTCAAGTCGTCTGTCGCCCTCCATCTCTATCCGCATGACTATGGTTCTCATGAGTTCCTCTTTAAACTGGATAGAAGAGGGTGATATTGACATGGAAGATTATGAGGGTCGCGATTTCATGAAAGCCTAGTCCATCAAATCACACAATTCTTCATTTATTTAAATTCATTGAATTGGAAGAATGATTGAATTGAATTATAGAATAGATGCATAATATGAGAAGTCCTACCAAGAACTGATTGGGTGATGTATAGGTGACCACGGCCACTTTACGCTCTTCCTCTGGGATGTTCTGGAGTGCATCAATAGGGATCCACATTTCCGGAATGTAAGGTTTGTTCTCAGGGAGGAGCTAAATGATTTTAAGCCATGGATTACATTTACATTCACATTTTAGTCATTTAGCAGACGCTCTTATCCAGAGCGACTTACAGTTAGTGAGTGCATACATTTTTCAATCTATGGCTATATTGGGTATCTATACCTTCAGTAATAGTAGTGACATGTGAAGTGCAGTGATTAGCGAGAAAATAAGTACCTAGCTGACATACTATACTCATTCTCATTAGCTGGTCCCTTTCTGCAGTCAGAGTATTACAATATGTACATAAAATATACAAAAATAATAATAAAAAAAGAATATGCCATTTAGCAGACGCTTTTATCCAAAGCGACTTTCAGTCATGCGTGCATACATTTTTTTTTGTGTATGGGTGGTCCCGGGGATCGAACCCACTACCTTGGCGTTACAAGCGCTGTGCTCTACCAGCTGAGCTACAGAGGACCACATATTCACATTTGACATTTACACGTTCTATAGGTTGGGTACCTCTCTGACCTCAATTTGAGACAAGATGCCCAAACACAAACCCAGATAACAGCAGCCCTACCTCTGGGACTATTATTTGGACCATTTTGTCATTAGCACTGGTTAGGTTGGTCAGGTTGAACACAGTCAGAGCCAGATCCCTGAAGTTGTAGGACACAGAATCTTTAGTGAATGAGATGTTCATGATGTTGTGTACGAGGCCCCGTTCAGCGCTGCAAATACAGCACAGATACAGGGCAGGTTATCAAAGTTAATGTATGACTGTTAAAATCTCTGTCAGAAGTCAATGGAAATCGGTTGGCTGGTTACTTACCCAATAAACATCATCGCCATGGTCGGATTGGCTTTAAACAGGTGTGTACACATATTTCGCATGTTCAGGATCCTTCCAAGGTCCTTTAGACCTTCATTGGGATGGCCTTGTATCCCTCTCATCAGGGCAGTGATTGCTTCCACAGTACAATTGGTGACCTCACACGTGGAGGAAGCTGAGAGACAAAAAAGAGCCTTTGTACTAACATTACAGTTTAGGAGGGATTATTACTGTCATTTTGCAATGAATATACAAAACCTATGAAATGACAGAGGAATCACAGCTAAAGTTTCACATTTCATCCAGAATTTCTACATTATGAATATAATAAAAATACGTTGATTTGCTCACATATCTTGAAGATGAACTTGTTGGTTGAGTTCTTCACTTCAGTAATCTGCACCGTCTGACACTCAGTTAGGTTAATTGAGGTCAGATTCATTGAGGTGCACTCAACATAGCATTCACTGGACGCCCAATAGCCTTTCAAATTATCATTAGCTTCATCTGTGATTGTGATAGTCTCTTGTAGAATCTTTATTGTCATCGAAATATCCCCAGTTGTGGTGTTTAAACAAAAGGTAGCATCTATGGAAATGAAATAGCAATAGATCTCTAACATTTATAAAATTATTATTATTTGGTTGATACCCTACAATTCAATTTATGAGTTACAACAACCATGAATGGGGTTATTTACAGCTTTTACTCTAATTATTACAACAGTATAAAATAATATGCCAATTGTACCTATATCAACACAAATCAAGTGTACTTAAGTCCTCCCTATCAATACTTTATACAATATTTGTCCACAGGAGGTTGGTGGCACCTTAATCAGGGAGGACGAGCTCGTGGTAATGGCTGGATCGGAATGGTATCAAATACATAAAACACATGGTTTCCATGTGTTTGATGCCATTCCATTAGCTCTGTTCCACACATTATTATGAGCCGTCCTCCCCTCAGCAGCCTCCACTGATTTGGTCCCACAGTGCATTAAAATGAAACACAGTTTGAGATAATTAGTGTGTTAGTACCTGCATTTGAGCAATTCACAGCCAGTGTTCCAGATATCAGTAGAAGTAGATGCAGAATAAACATTGTGGCTGTTTTAAGGGTAGCGCAGTACAAAATATGAATGACAAAAACATACTTTACAAAGTAATCCTTGTTTTCAACATACTGTCATAGCCCTTACCACTCATTCAACATTACACTCAGTACACTATACAGCCTGACAATTTAATTTCAGCTTGACACCTAGGCTAACACTACTTAATACTACAACGTATACCTAACACATTCTGTTTGTTTTCAACAATGCGTCAGCACTAACAAAACCTAGCCATGCCTTCTGATTATCAACACAGTGATGTCTGCTTATTCCCAGACATATCATTCTGCAATCACTCAGGTAAGATAGTGACACAACATCATCAACTCAATATTTGAATTTTACCATGACAAATAGGATTGAATCATATTCCTCACACATGAACACAAACATAGAGTTACTTACATGCTAGGAGTTGATTTCACTCACATGTGATGTCCTTGTGGGGTGAGCAAACAGTCCATCAAACCACTTGTGTGCTTTGAGAATTACATCATTGAACACAGTAAACTCCCATTCCATTTACATATCCAACTGTGGCTTTAACGAACTTATCTTTTAATGTTTGGAGCTGCTTTTTTCATGTTTGTTCATAGTCAAATGTGTTCTCCCTATATCATTTTATGGCCACAAAATGTTAATATCTTTATGTTACCTTTAGCGGAACCTGGTGGCATTGCATTTGTTTTATGCAAATCTAGTTTGAACTTCAGCATGCTCCAGAGGAGCATCAATGAATAGGCTCCAGTTCAACTTATGTCAACATATTCATTTTCTGTTGCAGGTTTATCAACTAGTGAGGGATAGGATCTCATACAGTGAGGGAAAAAAGTATTTGATCCCCTGCTGATTTTGTACGTTTGCCCACTGACAAAAAAATGATCAGTCTATAATTTTAATGGTAGGTTTATTTGAACAGTGAGAGACAGAATAACAACAAAACAATCCAGAAAAACGCATGTCAAAAATGTTATAAATTGATTTGCATTTTAATGAGGGAAATAAGTATTTGATCCCCTCTCAATCAGAAAGATTTCTGGCTCCCAGGTGTCTTTTATACAGGTAACGAGCTGAGATTAGGAGCACACTCTTGAAGGGAGTGCTTCTAATCTCAGCTTGTTACCTGTATAAAAGACACCTGTCCACAGAAGCAATCAATCAATCAGATTCCAAACTCTCCACCATGGCCAAGACCAAAGAGCTCTCCAAGGATGTCAGGGACAAGATTGTAGACCTACACAAGGCTGGAATGGGCTACAAGACCATCGCCAAGCAGCTTGGTGAGAAGGTGACAACAGTTGGTGCGATTATTCGCAAATGGAAGAAACACAAAATAACTGTCAATCTCCCTCGGCCTGGGGCTCCATGCAAGATTTCACCTCGTGGAGTTGCAATGATCATGAGAACGGTGAGGAATCAGCCCAGAACTACACGGGAGGTTCTTGTCAATGATCTCAAGGCAGCTGGGACCATAGTCACCAAGAAAACAATTGGTAACACACTACGCCGTGAAGGACTGAAATCCTGCAGCGCCCGCAAGGTCACCCTGCTCAAGAAAGCACATATACAGGACCGTCTGAAGTTTGCCAATGAACATCTGAATGATTCAGAGGAGAACTAGGTGAAAGTGTTGTGGTCAGATGAGACCAAAATCGAGCTCTTTGGCATCAACTCAACTCGCGTGTTTGGAGGAGGAATGCTGCCTAAGACCCCAAGAACACCATCCCCACCGTCAAACATGGAGGTGGAAACATTATGCTTTGGGGGTGTTTTTCTGCTAAGGGGACAGGACAACTTCACCGCATCAAAGGGACGATGGACGGGGCCATGTACCGTCAAATTTTGGGTGAGAACTCCTTCCCTCAGCCAGGGCATTGAAAATGGGTCGTGGATGGGTATTCCAGCATGATAATGACCCAAAACACACGGCCAAGGCATCAAAGGAGTGGCTCAAGAAGAAGTACATTAAGGTCCTGGAGTGGCCTAGCCAGTCTCCAGACCTTAATCCCATAGAAAATCTGTGGAGGGAGCTGAAGGTTCGAGTTGCCAAACGTCAGCCTCGAAACCTTAATGACTTGGAGAAGATCTGCAAAGAGGAGTGGAACAAAATCCCTCCTGAGATGTGTGCAAACCTGGTGGCCAACTACAAGAAACGTCTAACCTCTGTGATTGCCAACAAGGGTTTTGCCACCAAGTACTAAGTCATGTTTTGCAGAGGGGTCAAATACTTATTTCCCTCATTAAAATGCAAATCAATTTATAACATTTTTGACATGCGTTTTTCTGGATTGTTTTGTTGTTATTCTGTCTCTCACTGTTCAAATAAACCTACCATTAAAATTATAGACTGATCATTTTTTTGTCAGTGGGCAAACGTACAAAATCAGCAGGGGATCAAATACTTTTTTCCCTCACTGTCTCACTGTTCAAATAAACCTACCATTAAAATTATAGACTGATCATTTTTTTGTCAGTGGGCAAACGTACAAAATCAGCAGGGGATCAAATACTTTTTTCCCTCACTGTAGCATTACATCAGATCCTGTTGGCTCACATGATTTATAATTGAACAAACCACACATGAAAACAGTTCTGAAAACACCTTCCTTCATTCCATAACTAAACAATCACAAAAAGAATAAAGAACAATATGACATGCTATTTTATTGGTACAACACACGTGGGTGGTTTGTAGACATTTTCGAAGGTCTACAGTTGTGTTAAGATTATGCAATTTTAGGGATAGTATTCTCAAAATAAAACATCTCAATAAAGTTTGAAATGAACATTGATAACAACAGTTCTGGATTGGTTGACAACAGACTTGTGTCCTCAGGCAGATCAGGTTTTGGTAGAGTGAGCGTCACTGCCAGGTTGGCTGTCTTCAGCCTTCCATTTGAACACACAAAACCAGAGGAAGATGAAAAAACCTACAAAAGAAGATGACACATATTACTCTTCGAGACAGAACTTCATTATAGTATTCCGTCGACCTCTTATAACCCACACAATATATTCCAAATATCAATACTTATCCAACTTCCAGAAGGCTTCAAATGTGTTGCTAGTGTTGGTGAGTTCACACAAAAAGTAAAAAAGTGGTTCAAGGAACAGCAGGGTATGAACCTTTTCTGTTGCTGTTTGTACTATTTGGTTGTTTGTACAATGTGATTGTATTTATTATATTTTATTTTTCACAATTAGGCCTATTCTACTTTTTTATTACTATTATTTTTTACTTCTTGCTTCTATTATTTTAAAAAGTCACTGAACATGGCGATTGGCACATGTGTTTTTCTGTTGCTCATATAAAAAAAAACTAGATTTCAACCTTGGAGGTGTTTCCTGACCGATTCCACATTTGGTTAATGATGTTTGTCCCCCATGAGACAGTGTAGACGCAGAAGTCTATTTCACTTCCTCAAAATCCCCAGAATGAATCTAAGATAACTCAAGAAATCTGTAATTAATTTTGATGCTTTTGCCGAGGATGTTTTAGTTGACAATTTTACATCTACAGTTGAAGTCGGAGGTTTACATACAGCTTAGCCAAATACATTTAAACTCAGTTTTTCACAATTCCTGACATTTAGTCCTAGTAAAAATTCCCTGTCTTAGGTCAGTTAGGATCACCACTTTATTTTAAGAATGTGAAATGTCAGAATAATATTAGAGAGAATGATTTATTTCAGCTTTTATTTCTTTCATCACATTCCCAGTGGGTCAGAAGTTTACATACACTCAATTAGTATTTGGTAGCATTGCCATTAAATTGTTTAACTTGGGTCAAACGTTTCGGGTAGCCTTCCACAAGCTTCCCACAATAAGTTGGGTGAATTTTGGCCCATACCTCCTGACAGAGCTGGTGTAACTGAGTTAGGTTTGTAGGCCTCCTTGCTCGCACACACTTTTTCAGTTCTGCCCACACATTTTCTATAGGATTGAGGTCAGGGCTTTGTGATGGCCACTCCAATACCTTGACTTTGTTGTCCTTAAGCCATTTTGCCACAACTTTGGAAGTATGCTTGGGGTCATTGTCCATTTGGAAGACCCATTTGTGACCAAGCTTTAACTTCCTGACTGATGTCTTGAGATGTTGCTTCAATATATCCACATAATTTTCCTTCCTCATGATGCCATCTATTTTGTGAAGTGCACCAGTCCCTCCTGCAGCAAAGCACCCACACAGGACGATGCTGCCACCTCCGTGCTTCACGGTTGGGATGGTGTTCTTCGGCTTGCAAGCAGCCCTTTTTTCCTCCAAACATAACGATGGTCATTATGGCCAAACAGTTCTATTTTTGTTTCATCAGACCAGAGACATTTCTCCAAAAAGAACGATCTTTGTCCCCATGTTGCAGTTGCTAACCGTAGTCTGGCTTTCTAATGCGGTTTTGGAGCAGTGGGCTTCTTCCTTGCTGAGGCGGCCTTTCGGGTTATGTCGATATAGGACTCGTTTTACTGTGGATATGATACTTTTGTACCTGTTTCCTCCAGCATCTTTACAAGGTCCATTGTTGTTGTTCTGGGATTGATTTGCACTTTCCGCACCAAAGTACGTTCATCTCTAGGAGACAGAACGCGTCTCCTTCCTGAGCGGTATGACGGCTGCGTGGTCCCATGGTGTTTATACTTGCGTACTATTGTTTGTACAGATGAACGTGGTATCTTCAGGCATTTGGAAATTGCTCCCAAGAATGAACCAGACTGGTGGAGGTCTACCATTTTTTTCTGAGGTCTTGGCTGATTTCTTTTGATTTTCCCATGATGTCAAGCAAACAGGCACTGAGTTTGAAGGTAGGCCTTGAAATACATCCACAGGTACACCTCCAATTGACTCAAATGATGTCAATTAGCCTATCAGAAGCTTCTAAAGCCATGACATAATTTTCTAGAATTTTCCAAGCTGTTTAAAGGGACAGTCAACTTAGTGTATGTAAAATTCTGACCCACTGGAATTGTGATACAGTGAATTATAAGTTAAATAATCTGTCTGTAAACAATTGTTGGAAAAATTACTTCTGTCATGCACAAAGTAGATGTCCTAACCGACTTGACAAAACTATAGTTTGTTAACAAGACATTTGTGGAGTGGTTGAAAAACTAGTTTTAATGACTCCAACTTAAGTGTATGTAAACTTCCAACTTCAACTGTAACTAAGGTGTTTGGTCAAGTATTTCTCAAGTAAAAACATGTCAGAGCTGCTGGGCAGGTCTGTCTCACTGTCTATGCTACTGGATAGAGAGCAATCACTGCAGCTGTTCACCCCATGTTAGTGGGCAAATGGACATCTTCAAATCAAAACCCAACCTTCATTTACCCGTTGGGAAACACAGATGTTCCAAACTCCATTTTAGACGAGACTGACTTCATGACCAAAATTATTCTATTTACACTTTGTAATCGATTTTGACACTAGAATAACTGTTTCTGGCTCATATCGATGCCACATGCTCTTTAAGATCCATCTAGGGATTTGAAATAAATAAGAAAATGTGGAATGTTGTGACGCTAAATTATTGTATCTATCTGCCCAGACTACAGATGAAAACTAGCCAGCTAAATTTGGCACATTTACAGAAATGTAAATTGATGTATATTGTTTCAGTCCAATAAATAAATAAAAATAAAGTCTCCACTGAAAGCAAAAGTACATAGAGAAAGTCAATGTGAAGATAGAGGAGATTATCCTGCATGTTGACGTATTGGTCATTCTTGCATTACTGCACAGTTGTTATGACGTTAATGTTCCTAAGGCAACGATTGGAAACAACATTATGTTTAGCACTTCATCTATATAGCACACTGATTGCATACACACAATGGCAGTAAAGTAACTTTTTGTATCAAAATGAATATCATTAGGTTACTACTGAATAATAAACACAATCAGTTTGACCTGCGTCTATAAATAAGAGTCATGATAATGACTCTTACCTTGTAGAGAGTTGAGGACACAGAAAAGGTAGAGGCCAGGCGTGGTAAGCTGGCCGAAGGAGAAGAAGATGATGCCCCAGGTGATGCCCAGCAGACAGGTGATACCGAGCACGGTGCAGGTGTCCCTCCTGGCCCGACCCTTCTCCCCTGACATCTGCTCAGTGTGCAGACACAGGAGGCGCCTCACAGTCACAGCCAGCATACCGAGGTTAAACACAAACACCAGGCCAAACAGACCCACCGTGGTCACCAGCTTCATCACATCATTAGAGAGGTAACACCTAGTTAGGGGAGAGAGAGAGAGTGAGATAGAGAGAGAGATAGAAGAGAGAGAGAGCTAGAGAGAGAGAGAGAGAGAGAGAGGAGAGAGAGAGAGAGATCTGACGTAGATCGCAATCATAGGACTCAGATCTAGCAGAGAGCATCCCTCTCAGTAATCTCTACCTATCATCTATCCTCGTCTCTCTTCTCGCTCTCTCTCTCTCGCTCTCTCTCTCTCTCTCTATCTCTCTCTCTCTCTCTAGCTCTCTCTCTCTCTCGTCTCGCTCTCTCCTCTGCTCTCTCTCTCTCTCTCTATCTTGCTACTCTACTCTATCTCTATAAACGCTCTTCCCGTGATATCTTCAGATCAGATCAACCTCTTAACCTCTATGGGCGGTCCTCATATTTCAGCCTTCCACAAGCTTCCCACAATAAGTTGGGTGAATTTTGGCCCATTCCTCCTGACAGAGCTGGTGTAACTGAGTCAGTTTGTAGGCCTCCTTACTCGCACACGCTTTTTCAGTTCTGCCCACAAATTTGAGGTCAGGGCTTGTGATGGTCACTCCAATACCTTGACTTTGTTGTCCTTAAGCCATTTTACCACAACTTTGGATGTATGCTTGCGGTCATTGTCCATTTGGAAGACCCATTTGCGACCAAGCTTAAACTTCCTGACTAATGTCTTGAGATGTTGCTTCAATATATCCACATAATTTTACTTCCTCATGATGCCATCTATTTTGTGAAGTGCACCAGTCCCTCCTGCAGCAAAGCACCCCCACAGCATGATGCTGCCACCCCCATACTTCACGGTCGGGATGGTGTTCTTCGGCTTGCAAGATCCCCCTTTTTCCTCCAAACATAACTATGGTCATTATTGTACCCATGTGCAGTTGCAAACCGTAGTCTGGCTTTTTTATGGCGGTTTTAGAGCAGTGGCTTCTTCCTTGCTGAGCAGCCTTTCAGGTTATGTCGATATAGGACTTGTTTTACTGTGGATATAGATACTTTTGTACCAGTTTCCTCCAGCATCTTCACAAGGTCCTTTGTTGTTGTTCTGGGATTGATTTGCACTTTTTGCACCAAAGTATGTTCATCTCTAGGAGACAGAACGCGTCTCCTTCCTGAGCGGTATGACGGCTGCGTGGTCCCATGGTGTTTTTACTTGCGTACTATTGTTTGTACAGATGAACGTGGTCCATTCAGGCGTTTGGAAATTGCTCCCAAGGATGAACCAGACTTGTGGAGGTCTACAATTTTTTACAAGTAGAGCCATGGAGAAGTTGACCTTGTCATGCAGACCTAACACTGTCTTCTTGCTTACAGTACCACGGCTAACAGCTCCCTGTCCCCTACGTCATAATTTCGCTCCGCCGGGCTGAGCTTCTTAGAGTAAAAAGCACAGGGGCGGAGTTTAGGTGGCGTGCCGGACCGTTGTGATAGTATGGCCCCAATACCGGCCTCTGACGCGTCCACCTCTACCTGAAACGGTAAAGCGGGATCCGGATGCGCCAGGACCGGAGCCGAAGTAAACAGGTCCTTCAGTCTCCCAAAAGCCCGGTCCGCCTCAGCTGACCACTGCAACCGCACCGGACGCTATGGGAGCTGCCACCTGTCCAAAACCCCGGATAAACCTCCGGTAGTAATTGGCAAAACCCAAAAACTGCTGCACCTCTTTAACCGTGGTTGGGGTTTGCCAATTACGCACGGCTGACACACGGTCAACCTCCATCTTTACCCCTGACGCGGACAACTGATAACCCAAAAAGGAGACCGACTCCTGGAAAAACAGACATTTCTCTGCCTTGACATACAGGTCGTGCTCCAACAGCCTCCTCAACACTCGGCGCACCAGAGCTACATGCTCGGCTCGGGTAGAAGAGTACACAAGAATGTCATCAATGTACACGACCACACCCTGTCCCTGCATGTCCCGGAAGATCTCATCCACGAAGGATTGGAAGACTGAAGGAGCATTCATCAACCCGTATGGCATGACGAGATACTCGTAATGACCCGAGGTGGTACTAAATGCTGTCTTCCATTCATCGCCCTCCCTAATGCGCACCAAGTTGTACGCGCTCCTGAGGTCCAGTTTTGTGATGAAACGCGCTCCGTGCAATGATTCCGTCATAGTCGCAATCAGAGGGAGTGGATAACTGTATTTCACAGTGATCTGATTGAGACTACGGTAATCAATGCACGGGCGCAACCCTCCATCCTTTTTCTTCACAAAAAAGAAGCTCGAGGACGCAGGGGAAGTGGAGGGCCGTATGTAACCTTGTCTCAGAGATTCGGCTATGTAAGTCTCCATAGCCCTTTTCTCCTCTTGAGACAGAGGATACACATGGCTCCGCGGAAGCGCTGCTCCTGCCTGGAGGTTTATCGCACAGTCCCCCTGTCTATGAGGGGGCAACTGCGTCGCCCTTGATTTACAGAACACGAATGCCAAATCCTCATACTCAGGGGGAATGTGCATTGCGGGCATGTTTGGACTCTCCACCGAGGTCGCCCCTACGGAAACACCTAGACATCTCCCTACACACTGGGCAGACCACTCCATAAGAGCTCTCTGTGGCCACGATATCGTAGGATCATGGGCGATTAACCAGGGAAGCCCCAGCACCACGGGATACGCAGGAGAGTCGATCAGATATAACTGAATGGTCTCCTCATGACCCCCCTGCGTAGTCATCTTAAGTGGTGCTGTGACTTCTCTAATCAACCCCGACCCCAGCGGCCGGCTGTCTAGGGCATGGACAGGGAAGGGGACTTCCACCGGCCGGAGGGGAATTCCTAACCTAGAACAAAATTTACGATCCACAAAATTCCCAGCTGCGCCTGAATCTACTAGCGCCTTATGCTGGGAATGAGGTGCCACCTGTGGAAATCTCACAGGTATACATAGGTGAACAACAGAGAGCTCTGGGTAAGTGGGGCGCCTACTCACCTGAAATGACTCCCCAGTGCGTGACCTGTTGTCCCTTCTCCCAGGAGACCCTCCCCAGCACCTAGCCTCCACGGCCACAGTTGGTGCAGGGGACGGCCCCCCTCGGGTTCTCTCTCCTCCTCTCTCTAGCGCCAGCACCCCCGAGCTCCATAGGAATCGGCTCGGAGGCGCTGGAGGATGGAATGGACGACCCCCATTCAGGGTGTCGAGATGGATGGACATGTCCACCAACTGGTCGAAAGATAGGTTGGTGTCCCTGCAGGCCAGCTCACGACGAACGTCCTCACGTAGGCTGCATCGATAGTGGTCGATGAGGGCCCTCTCATTCCACCCCGCATCTGCCGCTAGAGTCCGGAACTCCAGGGCGAAATCCTGTGCACTCCTCTTCCCCTGTCGGAGGTGGAACAGACGCTCCCCCGCCGCCTTCCCCTCAGGTGGATGGTCGAACACTGCCCTGAAGCGGCGGGAGAACTCCGAGTAGGTGATGGTGGCGGCGTCTATTCCCCTCCATTCGGCGTTGGCCCACTCCAACGCCTTGCCGGAGAGACAGGAGATGAGGGCGGAGACGCCCTCGTATCCCGAGGGCGCCGGGTGTATGGTGGCAAGGTAGAGTTCCACCTGCAGGAGGAACCCCTGACACCCGGCTGCGGTACCATCATATGCCCTCGGGAGCGAGGGCCGAATACCACTGGGTTCCGGTGCTGGGAGAGGAGGACTGGCCGATGGTGATGGTAAGGTGTGCGGAGGTGTGGGCACCTCTCCGGTGACCAAACGGCGCAGAGTGTTAGACACCTCGGTCATGGCGGCCCCAAGTTTCCGGATCATGGTGTCCTGATCGCTGATCCGTTCCTCCAGCGACTTGGGTGCCGCCGCTGCTCCTGCTGACTCCATCAAGGTGTGTTATTCTGTCATGGGCTGATGTAGATGTGGTGTGGAGTCAGATTAGGACCTGTGCCGCTTCCTGTGTAAGGCAGGGTCGTACTCTCCGAGTGTTGTAGAGCATGAACCTACAGGATCGGGTCACCACCTTGATGTTAGCGGAGAACGACAGGGTGTTGTCCAGGGTCACGCCAAGGCTTTTTGCACTCTGGGAGGAGGACACAACAGAGTTGTCAACCGTGATGGCGAGATCATGGAACGGGCAGTCCTTCCCCGGGAGGAAGAGCAGCTCCGTCTTGCCGGGGTTCAGCTTGAGGTGGTGATCCGTCATCCACACTGATATGTCTGCCAGACATGCAGAGATGCGATTCGCCACCTGGTTATCAGAAGGGGGAAAGGAGAAGATTAGTTCTGTGTCGTCTGCGTAGCAATGATAGGAGAGGCCATGTGAGGATATGACAGAGCCAAGTGACTTGGTGTATAGCGAGAATAGGAGAGGGCCTAGAACTGAGCCCTGGGGGACACCAGTGGTGAGAGCACGGTATCAGCACTCCTGAGAGGCTTGATAAATACGGGCCCTATTAGTGACAGAAACACAGGTCCTAGTCCTACCCAGTAGCCATACAGTGGGGGAAAAAAAGTATTTAGTCAGCCACCAATTGTGCAAGTTCTCCCACTTAAAAAGATGAGAGAGGCCTGTAATTTTCATCATAGGTACACGTCAACTATGACAGACAAAATGAGGAAAAAAATTTCAGAAAATCACATTGTAGGATTTTTAATGAATTTATTTGCAAATTATGGTGGAAAATAAGTATTTGGTCACCTACAAACAAGCAAGATTTCTGGCTCTCACAGACCTGTAACTTCTTCTTTAAGAGGCTCTCTGTCCTCCACTCGTTACCTGTATTAATGGCACCTGTTTGAACTTGTTATCAGTATAAAAGACAACTGTCCACAACCTCAAACAGTCACACTCCAAACTCCACTATGGCCAAGACCAAATAGCTGTCAAAGGACACCAGAAACACAATTGTAGACCTGCAACAGGCTGGGAAGACTGAATCTGCAATAGGTAAGCAGATTGGTTTGAAGAAATCAACTGTGGGAGCAATTATTAGGAAATGGAAGACATACAAGACCACTGATAATCTCCCTCGATTTGGGGCTCCACGCAAGATCTCACCCCGTGGGGTCAAAATGATCACAAGAACGGTGAGCAAAAATCCCAGAACCACACGGAAGGAACCTAGTGAATGACCTGCAGAGAGCTGGGACCAAAGTAACAAAGCCTACCATCAGTAACACACTACGCCGCCAGGGACTCAAATCCTGCAGTGCCAGACGTGTCCCCCTGCTTAAGCCAGTACATGTCCAGGCCCGTCTGAAGTTTGCTAGAGTGCATTTGGATGATCCAGAAGAGGATTGGGAGAATGTCATATGGTCAGGTGAAACCAAAATATAACTTTTTGGTAAAAACTCAACTCGTCGTGTTTGGAGGACAAAGAATGCTGAGTTGCATCCAAAGAACACCATACCTACTGTGAAGCATGGGGGTGGAAACATCATGCTTTGGGGCTGTTTTTCTGCAAAGGGACCAGGACGACTGATCCGTGTAAAGGAAAGAATGAATGGGGCCATGTATCGTGAGATTTTGAGTGAAAACCTCCTTCCATCAGCAAGGGCATTGAATATGAAACGTGGCTGGGTCTTTCAGCATGACAATGATCCCAAACACACCGCCCGGGCAACGAAGGAGTGGCTTCTTAAGAAGCATTTCAAGGTCCTGGAGTGGCCGAGCCAGTCTCCAGATCTCAACCCCATAGAAAATCTTTGGAAGGAGTTGAAAGTCTGTGTTGCCCAGCGACAGCCCCAAAACATCACTGCTCTAGAGGAGATCTGCATGGAGGAATGGGCCAAAATACCAGCAACAGTGTGTGAAAACCTTGTGAAGACTTACAGAAAACGTTTGACCTGTGTCATTGCCAACAAAGGGTATTTAACAAAGTATTGAGAAACTTTTGTTATTGACCAAATACTTATTTTCCACCATAATTTGCAAATAAATTCATTAAAAATCCTACAATGTGATTTTCTGAAATTTTTTTCCTCATTTTGTCTGTCATAGTTGACGTGTACCTATGATGAAAATTACAGGCCTCTCTCATCTTTTTAAGTGGGAGAACTTGCACAATTGGTGGCTGACTAAATACTTTTTTCCCCCACTGTACATACCCAGGGCAAAGCTGTGCCCATTCATTCTAAATACATTCCAGCCACATCTTTGTTTTGTCACTTAGTCCACTCTGCTTTATCAATCAGCATGTTTAGTGGCTGGATGGACCCATGGGACGGGAGGCCAAACATTCTCAGGTGGTGGTGCACATGCAGAGGTCCATGCTCTGCTCATGTTTAAAATGACTAGCCTACTTGAGATCTCTCCCCAAATAACATTTGCATGCCTTTTTTCTAGTTAATCTTTTTTTTAAAGCAATAACATATGTAGCTACATCAGTGGCATACCGCAGTTTCGCGGGGGCCCCTGCAAGGTAGGAGTTTTTTGGGGGGGGAAAACAGCTAACTTCCTACAATTCTACACATTTTGCCATGGGGTAAATTGAAAAATGTTCAGTTTCATAGCTACTCTCATGCTATTTTACACATTTTGCAATGTTGAGAGAATGTCGAATTTTTAAAGCTAATTTTCAGCAATTCTACACATATTGCCATGGGATAGAGAGAAAAATATGCTGTTTTATAGTTAACCTCATGATATTCTACACATTTTGCAATGAGGCTGAGAGAAAATGTTGCTGTTTTACAGCTAATGAGCTACATCCTGTGCATCAGATGACACTTTGCCTGTGTACTATGTGGTGAGGCTGAGGCAATATCCAATAAAGGTGAACTTCCTGTTATTAGGCAGGTGAGGATATAACCAGCCAGAGGCAGTCGCGTAAAATAGATGATAGACAGATAAGAAGGTGACAAGTGATTGATAGTACGGGGAGGCAAAATTCCCCCCTTTTATCACACTTGATAACGAAATGCAAAAGCTGTTCACCTGATCAGAATGTGCCTCCTTTGTTGTAAAGCAACCTTACTCATGGAGAGGAGGTATCGGGCTGCTTACTGAGGTGTGGATCCCCTTCCTTTGGAGAGGACTGCTCCATTGACTCTACAGACATGTCTGTCCCCAGCTGCCATTAGGCAGGAGTCAGGACAGGACATAGGTTAGTCAAAGGAGTTGGCTGAATGTGACAGAACTAATGAGAGGGCTGCTATACACTCACCTGTCTCTGTCCAGCTGTTCGCACACATTTCCTCTGCAACTGGCTCGTTGTTGACAACCATGAATGCTCTGCCTGGCTGCTGCTAGTCCCCTCCTGGGGCATTCTATTGAGGGATAGACTATCAATGAATAAGATATTTAATGATAAAGGGACACAACATCATAAAATAGGCCTACTAAGACGTTATCTCGTTCACCATGACTATTCTGCCCATGGGCAATTAGCCTAGGGTGGTTAATTGAAGTTTTAGGGCTACCAGGCAGTAGGCCTACAGTATAATCATTTTCAGGGCTAGGCTATTTGTTATTTCCAACTATGAAGCTGAATGAATTCAGCCAATAACAATATTAATAGAACGCTGTGTGAAACCTCTGAAAACGTAAATGCCATCAAAATACTAATTTGTAGCCTATACACGCTCAATAGTTTCGAAGGGGGTGGAGGGCTACATCCGCTAATGTGGTGGGGGGCTACATCCGCTCTCCTTACTGATTTGATAGCTGGAGGAGCGACATTGATCGCGACGCACAAGGTACATAGTCACTGGTGAAGCAGCCAGTCCAGCTTCGAGCTGCCCCGCTCCATAAAACACACTTAAATCGACCCGGGAGAGTAACGGAACAGGGTGGACAGAGTCCAGGAAAACTGGAAGAAAAATCTAGATTTTAACGGGCGGAGAACGATCATATGAAATCTTTACAGAAGGCGCCGTGATTCAAAACAGGCTTACGGAGACACCGCGCTAGATTTGCACGAGTGTTGGACAGCTGCAGCCGACTTCAACTTCTTTGTCGTGGTCTGTAAATAATTGTCAACAAACTTGGACCCGTTATTTAACCTTCAACCGTCTTCCGTTGCTATTGGGCTCATTTGCAATGTGTTTGTTCTGTCAACATTAAGCATGTTACACACAGCAGTTCAGTAAATTACTTGACATATTAAGATTAAAGTCACTATGCGTGCTTTGTGAGCTGGCTTCTGGTGCAGTGACACCAACACGCCAATTACCATAAAGCTGGTTGTTAGGAAATTACTTTTTATCGGCACATCCTGATATGGAATTGTGAGTAAAATTGGGACACGCCCGCAAGCAATAATAGGCTACCTAAGCGTTTTAGAAATCCTGGCAACAGTGCAAGACTTCTCTGATCCCCCTCCTGGGATTGTGGTCTATTCAAACAGAGCTGTGGAGAGGACATGTAGTGTGGCAATCAAAAGGACAACCTTTTAAACAGCTGCAACACCTCTGGATACTCGAATGAACCTTGTTTTCTGGAAGCGATACTGACGGAGTTGATGAATGTCACTGTCCTTATTGATGTCCTCGCCATAGCAAATGTAATATTTTTTCCTCTTAAAATTTACAGTATTTTTGAGAGACTCCTTGGAAGGTGACCAACATAAATTATTCTTAACAACTTGAAGCGCGTCTTTGTACCCAGTGGACACTTGGACAAGGTATCCATTGCCTTGTCCGGGGTTTTGGCAAGCCACGAGTAGGCTATGGCATCCTCATGGAAAAACTGGATTTGGTTACTCTGGAGACGGACTTTAGTTCCCTCTCTCCTCGTGCTTTGGGTCACCTGTCTCGGGACACACGGAGGAGAGGATGAAGCTTTTAATGCAGAGGTAATTGGAACATCTTCACTGAAAATGTCAATGTTCAGAAAGTTCCCTGTGTTACAACAATGCTGTAGTGTTTATACAAAAACTAGTTTTAATGTATCATAATATTCTGCAAAACACACAAGTTATTAAAAACCTCTCACCAAATCCCTGTTAACTTTAGCTGATATTGCAATTTGACTGCCCATCTTTCAATAGATATGGTTGCGCATAACCTTGACAACCTTGCGCTCATCTGATGGCACAAAATAACAATTCTGTGTGCTGGGGACAGGTATTCTTAATAATTTTGGATACCCTGCAAGAACACCAAAATATTTGTTAGGTCAAGTCTGTTCCAGTCCTGAAACAAAAAGTCAGATCATTACTATAAATGTCTCTTATTCGTAAGGCATTCATGAGTGCAAATTGGGCACTTTTACACACACATTTTGAACTTAATGACCCAGCTCATTCGGTCTGAGGAACTCGATCCAGCACCCCAAGCTGCATATCCTGCTCATAACTAGCTGTTCCACAATAACAGGACTATCCCTTGTGCGCCGCCAACAGGGTCCTCCTGGGCTGGAACTTCTCCCCAAAAAGGCCATGCCGCTAGCCAAACTACACAAATCTTACTCATTCACTGACACACTGACACACTCTTGCAGTCAGCACCATATGTGGAAAGCTGCTGTTCTTAAAGGATCTCTGGGTCAGATTAAGTAATCCCACTTTCATTACCACATTCTGTAAGCACATATCCATATTATTGGTTCACCACTTTACCTTCCTACAGGTAGGGTTGTTTTGCTTTCTTGAAATACTACAACAGCACCTGAAAAGATATCTGCATCACTGACTGAGCCGTGCTCATCTCACTAGTTGCCCCCTGCTTTGGACATATTCATCAACGGAATGATTAAATGTGGGGGGAATAGGCAAATGCTTTCGCAGTTTGTTTCCAGACCATCACTCTTTCTGTCTTCTGCAGTAGGCAGTGCTGATTCCCAACCTGCTCCAGATAGGTGAGAGTGAGCTGAGATGTAGGCTAATGAGCTTAGCATTAAACATGTGTCCCATAGGGAATACAATGTCCCAACAAATGTGTAGAGAAGAATACGCCCCTCTAGTTTTCCTTTACAACACACCAACTGAATGTGGAGGGCCAGTTTCAATCCAGCAGAGCAGAATCGAAAGTTTGTAATACCTTTTCTCCTTTGTTATTGTATAGGTCTGTGTTTTTGTGGACTTTGTCCCAGCTGCACCCACTTAACCATGCTGTGTTGACTTTAGTGCTTAGCCTCTCCTGTCAGGTCAAGGCTTAATGAAGGGGTCAGTTATGCACACACTGTTTCTTTTTCTCTCACAGGCCACTGCAGTTGAGGTTGGTTGTTGTGTTGTGACTATCAAAAATGTTAAGCCACTTTGAAATCATAGTATTAAAACGTAGCCATGTGAGGCAGTCTGAACTACGCACAATCAGCCTGGATCCTTTGCCAACACATGTGTATACACATTTCTCACACCTGTGGGGCTTGTGGCAGATTTAACAGATATACCGTAGCACCTTTATGCTAGCTGGAAGGTTCCTGTGCTGTGAGAGATCAGGAGTTATTCTCCTGCATTATCATGGATGGGAAACACAGTTGTTATTTTTTTTCATACAGGCCAGATGAGGTCTTTTTATTGTCCCAACTTTCACCCTGGTCTTACCACTGCCAAATATATATATATTTTTATGTGATTTTATGTGGCACTAGACTCTCAAAGCCCTAGTAACCATGCCGATGGTGTTCTCACAGGAAATGATTTGGCTGCCACCAGAGCAGTGTGGCCGTGTTGTGATGGTGCAGCGTGGGACTGGGTTAGTCTCTGGGGTGTTAGGCTGTGTGTGGTGAGACCACAGTGGTCCACAGCCTCTCATTGTTGGTCTGGCTATCAGTAGAACATACAACTGATGTGAGAAAAGGAGATACACTGTTATAACATGTTATAGTACCAATATTATAACGTAATAATATATTTATAATACTATAATATGGCATATTTAGGAGAGACATTGTAAATGTAAGAAAATCCCATAAAGGTGTATAAAACATTCTTGTCACATAATAAATCATCCACTAATGAATGTAGTACAGACTCTTAGATTGAAACACTGTGCTGAGGAAAATCAATATTGTCATCAGTCAGTTAGTCAATACTGATCACATCAGTGATGGGTCGGCCACTGCGTGCCTCTGCATTCTTACCTAAGTTGTGTTTATGTTTGTGTTTTGGTTGAGTGCACTCTGAGTGAGGCAGATTTGTGACTGACTAGACTGAAGGATTATGATGAGGAATGAGGCTCATACACAGGTAGTTACTGCTGACCTGGCAGCCATTGTTTACGAGACAAAAATACCTTGGGGCCTTTCTTGTCCCAACATGCCACATCCTGGCAGAGTATTAGCATTGTAGTGTTTAGGTGGTAATGGGGTCTTTAAGTGAAGTCAAGGAGATCTGTTGACTGAGGGATTGTTTTAAACATCTGGGGTGGGGTGGAGTCTGACGAGAACAGACAGCCTGTTAGTTAACGCCTACCTGCCAACGTCTGTCCTCAAGGTGTGGGTTGGTGTTCACCTGAAAATGTCACGCTTTTTGTGTGTTTTCACTAAACTGTTCCACTTAACCTGTATCTGATATTCTCTCTCCATTCAATTCAATATAAAGTGATCAATCAGCATGCATGAATAGTATGCATATGAGCTCAGCTGAGATCTGTCTTGAATGGATTCTCCCTTTTGCATTTACTGAACATTCTCACTGATGTTATGGTCATCAGCTCCCTTCCTCCCTGCACCTACAGCTTGACCTATCAAAGGAGACTGGACTCCTACACTGTCTGATGAACAGAGATGAAGTGGGAGTGAGGGAGAGTGATAAATGATAGAGAGAGGGAGAGAAAGAGAGTGAACTAGGCGGCTTGCTCAGCTGTGCTGCATGTGATGGTGAAGTGTGACAGCTGTTTTCCAAATGGGACACAAACAGAGGAGAGACATTTAGGCCTGCAGGACTCCCAGGCAGCTGAGGAGCAACAATGAGAGCTCTTGTCTGGAGAGGACTATTTCAGAGTGAAAAGAGGGAGAGAGAGGGAGAAAGAGAGACCAGCATAAAGAAGAGGTGGAGAAGTGGGAGGGGCTAGGGTTTATTAAGTCTGCAGAACACAGGAGGCCGACTGTATTGCTTCCTGAAACCCTATCTTTATCCCCAGTTTAACCCTTAACGTTGGCAGAGCCGGCCTCACTCTATTTCTGCTTGTCCGTGCAGCATGCCTTCTCTCTGTATTCCAACCAGTTCCTTTGTGTTCCCCTGAGGTTACCCGTCGCCATGGGCACAGCGAGCTTTCATCGCCATGGCGAGAGGTAATGAGTAGCGATGAGAACGGGAAATGCCATGAACCTCTAATGGTGACTCTCTTCCCTCCGGATCTCTCTCTCTCTCAGTTTTCTCTCTCTCGATCTCTGTTTCTCGCTCTCTCTCTCTCTCTCTCTCTCTCTCTCTCTCTCTCTCGCTCTCGCTCTCGCTCTCGCTCTCGCTCTCGCTCTCGCTCTCTCTCTCTCTCTGTTTCCTTCTCTCTCCCACAAGACACTCGCTTACAGAGTAGGACAGTGCCTGTGTGTGTTTTTTATTTCCTCCTCCTGTCTCTCTCTCCTTCATTTTTATTCTCTCTCTGCTGGAGGTTAGGACCAAAAGATGGCAGGCTACCAAGTCCAGGGAATAAAAGCATTCTCCATTTGTTAGTGTCTTGGCTGACATTGTGCGGGACGCAGACACTCACACGCGCACACACACACAACCACATACACTGAGTGATGCTCGTTTTACAATTCCTTGTGAATTGCTGGATCCAGGAGGCCTTCGTTTTGGCAGGTAGGTTCAAGGTCTTATTGAAGGAGCTGCTGACAGGGTAGCTGATTGGACTAAAAGAAGTCCTGTGCTTCACTCCCCCCTGGAACCATAGCCTTGCTTTGTATTCATTACAGATGATTCTTAAAGGGTAGGGTACAGATTGAAGCACTTTACTTTTTAAAAGGGTGCTTTCATATATCTATAACGTGGTGTAGCCTATTTCTCTTGTTCCAACGCCCTTCAATAAATACCATCCCAAACGATGCCAGAGAGAAAAGAAACCTGGTTGTTGTGTCTTTTACAAGCTGGGATAATATATTTTCCGTCTTGTATGAACTCAGATTGTTTGAACGGGCCCTTATCTGGACGATAAGGTGGGTCCCACCTAAACCAGCTGTAAACCAGCCATTCTCTGCTTCCACCCATATCCAATGAAAATATAGGGAAAGTATCTGCCTGAATTTGTATGAAAGAGAGAGACCAAAATATAGAATGAGGGAAGCAAAAAGAGGGAGCCAGCCAGTAGGGGGTTGAGAATGTGACAGGAAAGAGAGAGGAAGTTGATATCAGAGAGAGAGAGGGAAGAGGAAGAGAGTAAGAGAGGCTGCAGAGAGAGAGACAGAGCAGTGTTTCAGCTGTCTGTAAGGCGCTCTCTTGTCAGCCGTGTTTCCAGAAGTAGCAGCAGCATGGGATCTGGGGGCTCCAGTTGGTGCCCTGGAGAAAGAGGGGTTTACATTCAGCCTGTGCCCAGAAACAGGGCCGGCTATTCAGTCCTGCTCCACAGCAGAGGGAGGGGACCACAAAGGCCTGTGTCTTCTGTGAGCATGGGGGTTGGAAGGCGAAGATCATGCCGGCCAGAAACCAGAGGGAGCCCCATGCAACCAGGAACAGCAACCCAGGCCTGGTCCTTAGATAGAAGAGAAGTGGGCATTATAGCACTCCTCCCCTACCTCTCTGCTTAGTCCGGTGCCTGTATGGTAGGGATAGGTCCACTTCTAATCACTCATTTACTGCTCTGGGAGGAGGTGTGTCTTTAAGAGTTTCTCAAGATGTCCATGGTTGCTTGTGTAACAGGGTTAGAGCGTCTTACTATTCTTGTGTAAATCATGTGGCCGCTTCACACACTCAGTCACACAAGGCAGTCTTACAAATATCAGAGGAGTGACATTTAAAGTGTGGCCATTCACATCTCCCTCCATGTGGCTTCTAAAGATTTTCCAACAGATGGAAGTGGAGCAGAATGATTCAAGGCAGAGAGATAAAACATCTCACTGGATGTTAAATGGCTCTTCAGAAGATCAGGAAATGTATGCCACGTGTTTTCCGTGTCTTTTTTCTTCAGTGAAAATATTGACTTATTGCTTTTGCCTTACTGGTTCATACGCTGGGATTTATCATCTCTCGGACACAAACTGCTGTCAACAAAATGGTGTCTCTGCACAGCTGTGTGTAATCAAACTCAGAGATGCATAAAGTTAACCCACTGTGTTAACCCTGTTCTCAATCACTAGCCCTGTTATTGCCTCCACATTGGTTACAGCAGGCAGGCCGGTAATTCAGCAACCACAGTATAGGGTTAATTGTGTTTATTACAGTATGTGTGTGGGGGACTTCTTATGTAATTAGCGCTAATTACATAATTCAAGATCAGTAGCCTCCTATACAGTAGCGTGGGCTTCAGAGAAAAGCGAACCCCTGCCTCTCCTTATCCGCCGCCTCCCAGGCATATCCCATCAGCTGAGGGTTGAGGTGTGGTCATTTTGGTGTGACTGGTTAGTTCCTGATCTCTCTCTTTCACAACGGTTTAGCTGATAGAGTTGCGTGGCCACCCTGTTGAGTGTCTCCATCTGTAGCTCTATCCGCCGTGACGCTCTGGCACAGCCTCTGGTGGTATTAAATATCCCTTTAACAGGTGGAACGGTCAATCTGAAGTCTGTGATTGTATCTGGTTTCTCCCTTCATGTCTTCCTCCCCCACACGGCAGTTACGCTGTTCTGTATGCCTTTTAAGCTGTGTTTACACAGGCAGCCCAATTCTGATCTTTTTTTCACTAATTGGTCTTTTGACTACTCAGATCAGCTCTGAAAAAGATCTGACGTGAAAAGATCTGATGTCATTGGTCAAAATACCAATTAGTGGAAAAATTGAGAATTGGAAGTGTACACTCTGTATGGTGTTAAGTTTCTCTCTCTCTGTCCCTCTCTCCTTTCTCCTCTTCTCTCTCTCTCTCTCTGTCCCTCTCTCTCTCTCTCTCTCTCTCTCTCTCTCTCTCTCTCTCTCTCTCTCTCTCTCTCTCTCTCTCTCTCTCTCTCTCTCTCTCTCTCTCTCTCTCTCTCAGTCATGGCTGCGGATGTATGGCTACCTACCTCAGGCCAGCAGACAGATGTCCACCATGCGGTCAGCTCACATCCTTTCAAATGCCGTCAGCGACATGCAGCGTTTCTACGGTCTGGAGGTCACCGGCGCGATGGACCAAGGCACGGTGACGTATGTCACACTTCCTTCCCTATTGTGCTCTGTCATTGCTCCCATTACTGCCATCCTAATGCTATTATCCTGAACCAGACCTCTCTCTCTCTGATGCCTATGTGTCCAATCATGTCAATGGATTCATTTCCTAGTTTGTAATGGATTTGTACAGTATGAGGGAGACGGAAGGATTTGAGCCTTGGAGTGATAAGATCATAGGAGTGTGAGGTGGCCTGGTCTGGTCTGGGATGTAGATATCAAATCCCCAACAGGATGCAATGTCTTCCTATCTTTAGGGGTGGCCTATCTTGAACCCACAGATCAGTTACTGGACATAAAACGCATTCACTTTTCTATGGTACAGCACCTGGGCTGGTATCATGGGCAGTGTATCTCATAAAACCCCAGTGTGACACTGTGTAGAGGAGTGGGGAGTGTAACCCTGGTATCCTCTCCTAGAGCCATGCGGAGGCCGCGCTGCGGAGTCCCAGACAAGTTTGGGGGTCAGATCAAGACCAACGTTCGGCGGAAACGTTATGCACTCACTGGCCACAAATGGAACAAGAGCCACCTCACCTACAGGTAAATAACATAATTTACTTAATCTTGGTCAAGCTTCATCTATAACCAAATTCCAAATGAGTTTTCATTTGGATTCCTCCTCTTCCCTTGCAGTATACAGAACTACACACCAAAGATCGGGGAGTACAACTCGTATGAGGCCATCCGGAGGGCCTTCAAGGTGTGGCAGAAGGTGACCCCGCTGACCTTCGATGAGATCCCCTACCAGGAGATCAAATATGGCCGGAGGAAGGAGCCTGACATCATGATCTTCTTTGCCTCGGGTTTCCATGGAGACAGCTCACCCTTCGATGGCGAGGGCGGGTTCCTTGCCCACGCCTACTTCCCTGGTCCTGGTATGGGCGGTGATACTCACTTTGACTCTGATGAGCCATGGACCATCGGCAATGGGAACTTGCAAGGTAGGTGATGGATGTGGATGGATACCAGTCTCTTTAGCTCTACACCAGAACCATTACATCTTATACATTCTTATTCATTAAATGCAACGTCCCTGCTTTCCGCTCTCCTCACCTACTTTAGCTGGCCTTTCCCTACCTTCCCCTTGTTTACCATAGTTGGCATGACAAACCACATCATCACTCATTTGTTGAACATTTGTTGAGTTTTACTCCTCCATTACCTCCATTAAACTTCAAAGTTAGATGGATGACATCATACAGCTTTTACAACTCCCACCGGCTCTCAAAGCCGTGTTTTAAGGAATGGTGGTATTCTTTTCATCCTTTCAATCATTAACCAAACTGGTGTTGCCCAGAGGGTCTTGGTGAGTGACTGAGAGTTTTCCCTGCCTTGTGGAGGTGAACGTTGTCATTTCCTGAGCCAGTCAGAGCAGAGACAGATGGCTGGCTATGCTTGGTGAGGTCGAGAGAGTAGGAGGTGTTACTTGACAGATCACAGTGAGGGTTTTGAGGTAATTCCACAGTGGGAGACCGGTTTTTGAGTTGACCCTTTCTTTAACACTGTTGTATCCTCATGTAGCCTAGGTCTTTAAAACTCTCTGACACATTACTTTTAACGGTCTTTTAAACCACGAAAATTCTAAAAGTAAAGGTCAACTAAGTGTTCGTGGCACATTAAGGACATTGTTGGCTAAGCTTAAACATGCTTGACAGTGTTGTGGTTATTACACACTGATATCTAACAAAGCTGCATGTCTATTCATTAGGCTCTTAGATGGGGATATGTGCTGCTGTGTTCATTTTAGTGAGGAGGAAGAGAGATAAGTTGGCTCTTCTCCCGAGACGTTTGAAGTCTGTGAGCCACATGGTTGTCAGGGTTACCTTACAGAGCCTTCTTTCTTCCCATCTCTCTTTCTCTCAATCTCTCTCCGCTTTCTCTCTCTCTCTCTCTCTCTCTCTCTCTCTCTCTCTCTCTCTCTCTCTCTCTCTCTCTCTCTCTCTTTCTTTCTCTGTATCCTGTGGTATATTTTTAGTCACATGGATGTGCTGATAGCTCGCTAAGTCACAGATTGTGGTTGGTGGAGAACTTGGAAGGGGATGGGAGGGGATGGGAGCATGCAGCTGACAAAAAGAGGAATCCTGAACATCTCAACTTCCTCAGATGACAGAAGCCATGACATAATGTAGTTCCACACGATGCTGTCTGTCAGTATAATAGAGCGATCCCTACAGACATCTCACCAACCACCCTCAACATTCATTTCAGACAAGATGGCCCACAGATCAGGTCAAAGTTCAATTAAAACTGGAATGGAATAATTTGTCATTCACTGGGAAAGTACCAGGCCATAACTTGGAACCAACTTCAATGGCGAACCTATAGGATAGGTCAATTAAATTCAAGGCAATTTCCATATACTTTTTTTGTGAGTGTCCACAGGATGTTCTTTGTGGAGGGTGTTTGAAGTGGCAGTCACTGTGTCACAGATGTGTTCTCTGTTGCTGTGACAATGCATCACTGTCAGTCTGTCTGGGACAACGGCAGGCTTTGATTGGGGTATGAGGAGTGCGTGTCTTGATGCTTATCAGAAGACATTAGACCGACCACTTTATCTACTGAGGGCACCATTAACACCATTAAAAACCCTGAACAAGCAAATGTTTGTGCATTGACTTCATAACCTCAATGGGAGGAGCTTACTGTCTGAACATATAGACTACTGCCCCACCACCATGTAGTCTCAGTTAGAATGACGTAACTATATTCGTCACTTGGCCAGCTCTGGGGATCAATAACCAGGGTCAAAATGGGAAAACCCCTTGACTTCCCCCCAACCCCCACCTCCAACCCAATCCACAGCTCCAACCCATCCCCATCTCCAACCTCAACCCCAGGTCCACCCCCAGCTCCAACCCCATCCCCAGCTCCAACCAAAGCTCCAGCCCCAACCCAAGCCCTGAGCTCTCCAAGTCAACTCTATTAGCTAAACTTGCCAAATATAGCTGTCCTTCATTTCACGCCAACCATTTTAGAACCATTCTTTTGGAAGCTATGTACAGTAAAGTTCTGTCTTTCATTCAGTTTCCTAAGGCTACACTACTAGTTTGTCATGTTTTCAGTGCCTTTTGTAGCATGGAATTAATGACGTTTTCTGGCTCCTGAATCAACACACGGTTAGTTAGTGTGTGGAGAGAAAGGATGAGTAAATACGTTGTGTGAGATGCTGCCTGATGGCCTGTTCCGCTCGTTGTCTGCCATTCCCTCCTGGGTGACCCCAGTAACTCTGTTAACACTTCCTGCTTGTGGCCACAGCTCAGGTCACCGCTCAGGTCTCAGTGGTGTTACACAAGGGGACTTACATTTTACATTTTAGTCATTTAGCAGACGCTCTTATCCAGAGCGACTTACAGTTAGTGAGTGCATACATTTTCATACTGGCCCCCCGTGGGAAACGAACCCACAACCCTGGCGTTGCAAGCGCCATGCTCTACCAACTAAGCTAAATGGGGCCAGTTTTCTCACTTTACTCACTCACTGTCTATTTTAGGTTTAGTCGTGACGTGGTGTATACTTCTTAAGTGCCTTGAGTATGATAATGACTATCCTCCTTCTCTCTCTCTCTCTCTCTCTCTCTCTCTCTCTCTCTCTCTCTGTCTCTCTCTCTCTCTCTCTGTCTCTCTCTCTATATCTCTGTCCAGGTAATGATCTGTTCCTTGTTGCTGTACATGAGCTGGGCCATGCCCTGGGCCTGGAACACTCCAACAACCCAATGGCCATTATGGCTCCTTTCTACCAGTGGATGGAAACAGATGACTTTCAACTGCCCGAGGATGACCTCAGAGGAATACAACAGATCTATGGTGAGTTGGCCGTCTGTAACAAAACTACTGGTGTATGGACCTGAAAAGGTTGGCTGTAAGAGCTTTGGTTTTTATAAATGTATAAGAGTAGTGGTTCCAGCCCTGGGCACCGCTTTGATTACAACTCTGATTGGAGTTGGAGTAGTCTGAGGTCTGTGTTTCCACTCTACATGCCTCCTGCCCACAGCATGCTCTAAGTGGAAAATCAGCCTGCTGATTCACATATCCACTTATCTAGCTTGGGCAAAACCAGGACACAGCTACCAATTATGAGATCAGTTGGAGGACAAATCTCTAAGCCCTTGATTTCCTTTTAGGATTTTTGAGTGGAGAGTAGCCTATAACTGCTGTTATTTGATGCGTTTATCACTTTATTTCTGCAGGTCAGCCAGACGGTACACCCACCCAGGCTCTTCCCACTGTCACTCCTCGCCGGCCAGCCCAGCCAGAACCCAAACCCCCCAACTCTCCACCCAACTCTCCCCCCAACTCACCCCCCAACTCTCCTCCCAACACTCCCCCCAGATCTCCTCCTAACTCTCCCCCCAACGCCCCACCCCGGAGGCCAGATAAGCCCCGCACGACTGACCGCCCGGACCACTACGGCCCCAACATCTGTGAAGGAAACTTCGACACGGTCACCATGCTCAGGGGAGAGATGTTTGTGTTCAAGGTGAGGACCTCAGACTGCCCCCACACATATGAGATGAGTTGATTCAGTCTCAGGGCTTCTGCTAGGACCTACATACTGTCACTGGCTACCACCTGGTTACTCTACCATGCACCTTAGAGACCACTGTCCTATGTACGTAGTCATGGAATACTGGTCACTTTAATAATGGGTTTTACCCACTTCATATGTATATACTGTGTTCTAGTCAAGGCCCATCATATTCAACTATTGCTGTACATATACTATTCTTCAGATATACTACATATTCTATCCATATACTGTCCATATTGTCTATACATCCCGTCACATATATATATTTATACTCCAGACTCCGACATTGCTCGTCCTAATATTTCTATAGTTCTTAATTCCATTCTTTTACTTTTTAGATTTGTGTGTATTTTTGTGTATTGTTGAATATTACTGCACTGTTGGAGCTAGGAACACAAATATTTCGCTAGTAGGTAATTTGATCAAAGGCTGGTCGTATTGCAGCCAGTGGGCGTGATAACCATGCTGCTGTCTGTCTATGTCTCTCAGTAGTGCAGTAAAAGCTGCTATGCCCAGGTTAGGAGCCATCTGGAGAGCTTTATGGGCAGGTGGATCAGGGCCTGAGTTCAATTGGGCCCTAAGCAGGCTGTAAAACCCCAGAACCGCTCTCTTTTATGACATGGAGCCCAGTAAAGAGGAGAGGAGCAGCACTCTCTAGGTCTCAGGTGTGCCTTAACAACTACTGGACCAACCAGTACAGGGCTGCGGAGATGGCTCTCATTTGAACCATTTGTTAGGCCATTTGCTGACAGCTGGAGAGAATTTCACTGTTTATGCTTCAGTTGATGTGGTCAACTCCTCTCTTATGTATGAAAAGAGCCAGTGCTTGACTTGGGCAGGAGCTCGCCGGAGCTGAGTACCGGCACCTAAAATATTTTACTGCTTGAGCGCCTGCACTTCTTATAGAATATTAGCTCAAAAGTATCCTGCACCTAAATATAAATATAAACAGTACCGGCACGTAAAATGAGTGCCGGCACCTATTTCAGTCCAAGTCAAGCACTGAAAAGAACCATGTTCCCTCTACAGCACTATCACTTCTCTTACTTTTGGCTGTATCTAAATAAGTTGGATGTCTCTTTCTTCCAAGAACTGCCATTTGCCATGACTTCAGTTATCTGTCTCTCTGTCCAACTGTCTCTGTGGGAGAGGGCAGAGAAGGTGTACACTACAGGCAGCATAGAGTTGGAGGGGAGTGAAGATATGAGAGCAGGGGGAAAAGAGTCGCCTTTAACTGTGCTGTGCTCTTTTGTCATCAGGCTTTATTTGAAGTACACATACATTAGCTTACGATAGACTGTAGCTTCACAAAGCCGTCTCCTGCTAATGCCCTTAGGAAAGGTACCATCAAGCCCAGACTGTCCCTGACGTTGAGTAGTGTTCATATTAAGGAATAGCTGGTCAGTTCTCTTTTCTCTTGTGTGCCAGTGAGGTTCCACAGTCAGTAGATTTGACTAGTGGGGGTGGGGGTTTTCAGAATCGTAATTACACTTCTGTTATCCTCTTCTCTTCCTGGCTCTCCATGTTCACAGAAGATTGGAGTAGATTAGATGCAGGGCAGGTCTGCTTTAAATTATGTTCTGTTCACTAACAGGCTGCGCTCCTCGCTTGAAGGACAAAGACAAGCGCTGCTGCCAGGAAGATGCAACTCTTAGCTTTTACCATTAATGCTGACAGCCAATGCTATTAACTTACCACTAATGAATGAGCTTGCAGATCCGTGAGGTAGTTTTTGGAAAGCACTCTTAGGCCTACACTGAGAGGGCGATTTCCTTCTTGTACCGTTTCAGACATGTTTTTAACTACATTATATAAGTCCAACTCGTAAAATGCTCCTCATGCAACATGCAGCAAGCCCAAACCAGTTCCTACAGTAATTGGACATGCGATATGCTCAGCGCTGTGGTTGTGGGTATTAATAGCCTTCTAGCATTGCCTTAGTTATTTCATTGTCCGTTCTGGTAGGCTTGTCATGTAGTGCAGGCATTCGGATGCGCTTGGGAGCCCGACCACCCAGCAGCAGGCGTCTCCTGAACCCCAAACACTGCTGGAACAGAGCCTGTGTTATAGTCAGGTGACAGAGAGATTACGGACTAACAGCTGTTTTTCCCTCACCTTTTATATGGAACTTAATGTGCCCTATTTTCTCTGTTTCTATAGACGGGACCCTACCCTCTCTTTTAGACACTGCAGAGTGTGCGATGGCGGTGAAATGAAAGGGGGGAGTGTGTGGCGTGGAGAAGGGTAGGTGGGTTAGTGGATGTAGAGGAGGGGGGCTGGGTGTTAGAACAGACGGTTTCAATTTAGAGGCCCTTGGCTGCGTTCCTGGGTCTGGTTTATATATTAGACAGGTCTGAAGTAATCTCAAGGTCTGGGCCTGAGCCAACGAGATGGAGGGAATGTGAAGGTCAAGCTCGGACGCGCACCGCACCATGAGACTAGGGACTTACTGAGGACACACTGAGAGAGAGAGAGAGAGAGTGCGAGAGAGAGAGAGAGAGAGAGAGAGAGACAGAGAGAGAGAGTGTATGCGTATGTTATTGAAGTATTTCTCCCATTGATTGATCCAAACTGTTGAACGTGGCTGTGAAGACTTCCTCCTCCAGGCAATGTGCTAAACAGACTCTGATAGAGAGGGGATGTTCAAGAACTATCAGGCACATGGCCCATCATGTTTGACACTCTCTGTTCCTCTCTCCCATATGACTCTGCAATTTATGGATTGCATGATGGTACTAAACTGCTGATACACAGTCTTGCGTCCATATCTGGTGGGCAGGCAGCAACCCCCAGCTATGTCTGGTGCTCCAGAGAGCCATGTCACAGGCAAGGGTCAGAGGTTGGAGGTCATGCTGAGCATTAGAGCTCCAGTGGATGTGTCCTCTAACAGCTCTCCCCGCTCTTTTCTGACAGGGTCGCTGGTTCTGGAGGGTGCGGAGGAACAGGGTCCTGGACAACTACCCTATGCCCATTGGTCACTTCTGGAGGGGACTGCCTGGAGACATCGATGCAGCCTACGAGAGACACGATGGGAAATTCGTCTTCTTTAAAGGTATTTGTACTCTCATAATAATTTTACCAGATGTGCACGTAAGACTACAAGCAGGCGCGCAGGCATACACACAAACACACGCACACACACGCGCACACACACACAGTCAGTCATTGTTGTTTTTTAAATGAGGGTTAAACAGAAGAGAAATAGTCCAACTCAGAGGACTGGAACAGTGTTTGTTAATGTGCTGAAGTAGCAGCAATCACAAAACAACTGAACGCTTTGGTTACACTATAATGAAGCATTGTTGCTGATACCAAAATGGATTCACAAACATTGTTTCAGTCCTCTGTGTGTATTTTCTTTTTACGCTAGTGTGCCTTGGAGACGAAACATAAAGCTGTTAGTATTTTCCACATTACAATATAATTACAGTGAGTAAACATTGCTAATTTCACATTAACACTTGTTTTTGCAGACATTAAGTGTTCCTTGGTCTCCACATTCACTTTAGCATAGAGCCACAAATGTATTGTAACCCCGGATAGTATATTACGGACAAACGGTCTTTGAATTGATAGAAGAGATTATGTTTCTGTCTAAATGGAAAATATAATGACATCGTCAAGTTAAAATGGGAGGACTGGAGATCCCTAGAGTCTTGTGCTGAAATGCAATCGGATTGGGCTAGACATGAGATCTCCTTGGTGGCAGTGAATGCTCGTTGGCTCGAGCTGTAATCCTCCCCAGACTCCTCATTCGGTCACAACTACCTCTTTCCTCCCTGCACCGTTGCCACAGAAACCGTCCCATGCCCCCAAACACTTTAGGTTTTAACTTTCATTTCGATCATTTTCCCTCATTAGGTTGACATAAAAAGTGCTTTTGCTGCTGTAAGGTTTTCTCCCAGACCTCATTGCGGCTTTCTATTGATTTCCCCCCACCTCCTCCTCAATTGTTAAACCACAAATGTAATAATATCCTTAGGAGAGCCTACACAATATGATTTGTCTGTAGAGGTTATTGTAGATCCCGCTGGCATCTCTTTGTTCTATGAATTTTGTAACCAGAAACAGTGAAAGAAAGATGGAGATAGTGAAACCGCTTTTTGGGGATACATTTGAGCTGTCGCTCTTTAAAACAGCTGGCTCTCCCTAAAGAAAGTCTTCAGGGCAAGTGATGTCATTGGCAAGACCTTCTGAAATGTGGATGACAGCCATAGGAAAGAAACTAAGGGACCAAAAAGTTGGCCTGCAACATCTGGCAGATGTGAGTGAGAGAGTTGCATCAGCCGTTTGTCTCCCGATGCTGACTGCAAAGGATTTCTTTTCAATGAGAACTGGGCCAGGAGAATAGAAAGCATGTTGGTGGTGCCTTTGTGTCTAACATACTGTAAAACAATACAAAACGACTCACCATGTCCTCGACATTTCAAATGCATTATATCTAACCAAAGCTGTGCATAAACTCTATTTCTCTCTCTATAATGCATGCTAGCCAGCAAATAAACAAGACTGTAATGTAATGGCGGGTTAACAGTTTCCATAGCGATCTCCAGGTTTATGAGTGGTAGTTGTTGGAAAGGGAAAGTCCATATGCATTGCTCCACAAAAGACCATTAACCATGAATCCCTTTCTCCCTCCCTCCTTCTCTCCCTCCGTCCCTCCTGAATTATTATGTCCAACCCAATATCTGTCCTCCCTTTTCTTTCATCTCCTTGATGTATATGTTCCCCCACCCCTCCTACATCACTGTCCTCCTCCTCCTCTCCTCTCCTCAACCCTCCTCTCCTCCACCTGTAGGGAATAAGTACTGGTTGTTCAGGGAGGCCAACCTGGAGCCTGGTTACCCCCAGGAGCTGACGGACTATGGCAGGGACATCCCCTATGACAGGATAGACACAGCCATCTGGTGGGAACCATCAGGTTTCACATACTTTTTCAAAGGAGACTGGTAAGGAAGGGACTCTCCCTGTTATCTGTGAATTTCATGACTGTTGCCCTTTTTCATGTTGATAGATGGAGTTTCCATCATGTCTTCACTACTGTAAATTGTCTTCTATTGTTTTGGCTATGGAATATGTTTTTACACGATTACGATGACATAATCTCTTGGCGTGTAAGGATGTGGCATCATCTCTTTTGTGCTGACTGCTTTGGTTTAGGAGACACATACACCCTGAGTTCTACATGAATGCCTGATTTAACGTAAGTGCTGTATAGTGGTTTAACATACTGTTATTCTCTCTCTCCTCTCATCTCTAGGTACTGGCGCTTTAACGAACAGTCCCGTGCAGTCGACAAGGACTACCCCAAGCCAATCAGTGTGTGGGGCTCTGCGGTCCCGTCCTCTCCCAAGGGGGCTTTCCTCAGCGATGATGGAGGTGAGAGAGGCGAGAGGGTGGCCAGGAAAATGGCAGTAATAAACACTGAACAAAGGAGAAGGGTGGGTTTGGTCAATCAGAGAGAGAGGGAGAGGGGGAGAGAGGGAAGGAGAGAGAGGGGGGGCTTAGTGTAGGGAATATGAGCTGAGTAGGGAAAGAAGTGACATCATCTTGAAAGGATTAAAGAAAAAGACTGTCTTTTTCCCCCCAAAACTGTATTTACTGTCTCACTCAATGCCATGGATAAGTATTTGATTATCATAACATTGTATTTTGTACTAAACATCCTCCCTCTGTCTTCCCCTCCCAGCTTATACATACTTCTACAAGGGATCCAAATACTGGAAGTTTGACAACCACCGGATGAAGAGTGAGCCAGGCTACCCTAAATCCATCCTGAGGGACTTCATGGGCTGCAGTGTGGACCTGGACCCAGATAGAGACAGGGACACCGACGCAGGCCGAAAGGTCCCCGACGTGGATCGCCCGCCCTTCAACCCTGACGCCGGCCGGGACAAAGACAAGGACAAGGAGAAGGACAAGGAGCGGGACCACACCAACGATGTAGACTATAAGGACGAGAGAGACGAGGAGACCAACGAGGTGGACGTGGTGCTGAAGATCGACGAGAGTGAGACGCGCGCTATGAACATCATCATGGTGACAGTACCCCTGATCCTGGTGCTGTGCATCCTGGGACTGACCTACGCCATCATCAACACACTGAAGAGGAAAGGAGCTCCCAAACTGCTGGTCCACTGCAAACGCTCCATGCAGGACTGGGTGTGACCTCTGACCCACTTAATAACCCCCCCCCAACCTGAACCCTACCCTCGTTCTTATATATTCTCATCCAAAACATGATAGTATAGACATACGTGCAAATACATACATACACGGATTCAAATACACACACACACGCACACACACACACACACACACAGCAAACATAAACACATACTCCTAACTCCTCCCCCTCCCATGGTGCTCTACCCAATGAGTTGACTGTGGTCTATTTATATCAGAAAGTTTGCACATTGTTTTTTGTTTTTGTTTGGTTCATATTCTGTGTTTGTTTTCTAAACCAGGAAGTGTCTGCATTATTTTCTCTCTCTCCGCACTGTTACAGAGGGTTTCTCTGAGATAACTTCCATCTGGTTCTTGGATTAACCTTTGGAGAAAAAAAACAGAGACAAAACAGAGCGATAGAGAGAGACTGCAGCACAGAATGAAGAGAGTGAAGGAGGTTTGATTCTGTGAAAAGCAGAGAGCCCCCCCTCCCTCTCCCACTCCTTCTCCCTCCCTCCCACCTCCTCCCTCACTCAGGACTCCTTCAGCTGAAGCAGGCCTACTGCAGGTCAGGTATCAACAGGAGATAGAACAGCGTAAACAGTGTCACTTCTGAACTGTAACTCACCCAATGCCTTTTATTACTACACCTTCCATGTTGAACAGCCAATAACTGAGCTTTTGGTTTTCTCATCTGTTTTTAGTTCAAGGGCACCATGGATGATATTGGAAATGTTGTCCATACTTTATAGACAACTTTCACAAATGTTTGGCTTATTCAACCAAACATGGTCCCATGGTGCCTTTTTCATTTCTAACCTTGTGTCAGTCCTATTAAACCATGGCGATGAGAGTTTGAGTTGTTATGATAGGGAAGGGTTGGAAAAGAAAGGTGCTTCTTTCCTATTTTTTTAAGACAAAGGCAATTCACTGTGAAATGACTCTGTGTGGGACTTGGGGGAGCAGTTGAGGTACTGAGGTAGGAGAGAGACAGGGGGTATTGAAAGAATATCCACTGGGCGCAAAAACGGATTGAATCAACATTGTTTCCATGTCATTCAATGTGATGATGTTGAATCAACGTGGAAAACTGATTGGATTTGCAAAAAGTCATCAACGTAAGGGAATCTCATTTTTCAACCAAACCTTTAACCTAAATACAACCCAGCTAGCACATTTGGTTCCTTATAAGTTGTGGGAACATACATTTTAGGTTATCCATTGGTTCTGGGAACGAAGCCATACGTTTCCTGACCGGTAAAACTGAAAGTTTTTGAAACGTTCTGAAAAAATTACATTTCGCCTGTTCTGGGAACTTTCATTTTTAGGTTGCAGGGAGGTTGTGAGAACGTTTTACGATGGTTCCCTGAAAGTTTTCCTGGGAGGTTTTATTAATGTTCTGAGAATGGAAATAATAGGTTATTTGAAGGTAATTAAATAACGTTCTGAGAACATGTTTCAATAAGACTTTTAATAACACTGCTAGCTTAGGTTAACTGTTTTGAACTCCAAGCACAGATTGGACACATGGAAATGAATCTACTTAGGAACTTATGATCTTCTGTTCTCTATCCATGGAATTAGTCCACTGCGCCACCAGGATAGAGCTAGCATGCCATGTTATTTTTTTGTTCATACAAAGCTGTTCATTTTTGTCTATTCAAACAGACCCCATTTCAATGGAAAAAAGCACTCATTAAGATCAATTAGTGGTTGCAGCCAACACACCTGAACACCTCAACAAGATAGGGGATAGAGAGAGTTTTGTTGATGCTGAGAACAGAATGTAGATGTTTTTAAATAACAATTTTTGAACATTCTTTGAACGTTACTAATGTTTTCTTGTGGTTTTTATGGAACCTTTTTTTAATGTTCTGAGAACATGACTTTAAATAGAACCATGAGGAAACCTGCAGAAAACGTTATGCTGAAGTACAGAAATTCCCACAAAAGAATGTTTTTTCTTAACATTCTCTGAACGTTCTGAGAACATTACTTTAAATAGAACCATGAGGAAACCTATAGAAAACATTATGCTCAAGTACCGAAATCCCACAGAATAACTTTGTTTCTTAATGTTTCTGAACAATTTGAGAACATTAATTTAAATGGAACCATGATGAAACCTATAGGAAACGTTATGCTGAAGTACTGAAATTCCAACCTAAGAAACATATGGTTCGCAGAACGTTATGTGCTCGCTGGGTATCCTGCACCATTTCCAGAACATTGTGGGAAGGTTTTACACAAAATAACCATAGGACAACCACGCTCTCACCAAGCTCTAAGAAACATATGGTTCTCAGAACATTATGTGCTAGCTGAGAATGACATGCTGAAATGTTTTGTTGATTTCATGTTGAATTGAAGTTAGTTGACAACTCAACCAAAATGTAATCAAAACTAGAGGTTGAAATAACGTCTGTGCCCATTGAGAAAGAGATTGACTAACACTTTTCATCTGAGAAATACTTGGAACGAACGATACTTCAGCCTCCACTGAAATGTATTAATAAATATAATTCAAGTAATGCACCACACAATGAGCCCTCTCTCTGTAATACCCTACTCCCCTAGATTTAAATAGATTGGCGGGCCTCTCTCTCTCTCGCTGAGCTTGTTCTGGAGAGTTATTCCTCTGAACATACTCAGAAAATGTCAACTAATCCTCTCATTTAAAAATAGCAGGTGTTTTAAAATATTGTTAACCCCCCAGCCTCGAGTCTAGAGGGCTAGAGATCTACTAGGGGAGTTCAAAAATAGAGGGTTTAAAGACAGAAACCTTATCTGTTATGTATTTGGGAAGGCTTACAGTCTGTTCCTGGATTGTGTTACCCAGATGTTGGTGATTGTTGGAGGGGGTTGGGAAGGCTGCAGGGCAGGCTCAGTGAGAGACCAGAGGTCCCTTTCCTACAGCTGAGCAGGGCAGTAGGGGGAGTGAGGGAGAGGAGCTCACTGGGGTGCTCTTCCTGTAAGGACTCTTATTGGCACTGTGTCATATGACCCACATTCACTAGCTCCAGAGAAGGAACTGTGGAGTCTATTCTCTGATACTAAAGGGAAATAGTAGCATGCCGTGTATTAGACTTCTTTATTTCTCACATTGGTATGTATTCTTATATGTTGTTCTCTTGACCGCTAAGGCCCATGTACAGTATGCATCCGTCTGGTAGATTTACTAGCAGCTAAAGATACTGAGAAAGGATTTGCTGTAAAGTAGAGATAAGTCATTTTATACACAGATACCTGACAGGTTTCACTGTTTACCATCTGTCAAACAGTAGTTGTGATGAATATGTCTGTCTGAGGCATTGACAGGGGTGGGGTAGGTGCACAGAGGATGCGTGAGATGCTTCCATAATACCATTGAGATGGGGGAAGGCCAGTTAAAAGGGCTATTATAAATATTATTGACAGCGGAGAGGAATCACAGTCATGAGACGTCCTGCGTGTGTCAGTGATGGATCCTGCTCGATGGGGTTGCTAGGAGACCGCCTCCGTCCCATTGCCCTCTCATTGTGCTGCAAGGTTGAGAGGGGAGTTAATCAGAGGTAAAAGCCTTCCCTCTCTCTCCTCCCCCCTGCCTCCCCCACCTGTCCCAATCCACCCACCCATCCTGTCCAAATCAATGGAGAACTCACCATCAGCAGCCCTAGAAGGCATCTGGACATACTCAGAAAATGCTCACTCATTGTCTGAAACACAGTCCATGCCTTACTCGCTCTCTCTTTATCTGGTATAGCTAGTATCTGTGTGTATGTATGGAGTAGACTATCACTGCGAGGCACAGACCTTTGTAGCCTATGTGGCTGTTTGTGTTCCTAGTATGTCTATCTCTTAGTGTGGATTTATTTTCCAAATGTTTCTCGGTGTGTCTGAGACTTCTCCCCGAATATCCACTGTCGTCCCCAACGATGCCTGCCTAAGAACTAGCTCAAGCAGATGCAACGGAAATGTGGGAAATTTCACAAAGGAAATGCCTGCTTGAAGTAAACTAGAGCCTTTATAAGAGCACTCTGGGATTGAGTCCAAGACTGCTTTGTTTTGTTTCCTTTTTTATTTTGTTTTTCATTAGAATTGTTTTGGAACACTACAGCAATGAAAAATACAGCAATGAAAAATACAGTTATGAAAAATACAGTGTTGAAAAATTATGTCAGAGAATGATTGAGGTATCAACACTGTGTGTATGTGTTTTGTGTGAGTATGTATATGTGTGAGTTTTTCGAGTGCTATTACTCTGTAGTCTCCTGTAATAGCTTTATTCTAGCCTTACAGTATAACGACTTCCTCTCGCTCTCTGTGTGTTGAACACCACTCTACTCTTCTGGTCTGGTCTGCAGCCCGTCTAGGCTCAGCCTTGGCCCCAGGGGGACTGTAACAATGGGCTCTCTCACAAAGTGCAGCATTGTCCTCCATGCTGTCATTGCTCCGGCCTAGCAGGAAGGCATGCTGAGCCCTAGGCCAGGATCCGGAAGCGTCCTTCCTCCCACAATCCCACTCTGTCCCTCCCCGCAGCTCTGTCATGGCCAGGTGGGGAGCAGAGCAACCAAGGCGGTCTGATGTTTTATATCCAAGACAGAGAGGAACACAGCAGCTCATTCTATATATTCTGTTAATTGTTGTTTGTGGCCAGAGCATTTCACAGGCATCCTGTACAGTTGCTTCATATCATGTCTCACGGTTAACCACTAGCTTGAGAAAATTTGTTTTGTAATTCATTACAAACAACAACCACACAGGATGCCAAACTGATCTTTGTAGAGAGAAAGAGAGATATGTTAGAAAGATGACATGGAAGACATGTCAAGAGAAAGGGGTTCAGTTTTATCCTTGCTTTTAATGTCTCCATCCTCTGGCTGATGTTTGTCAGATCCAGAGGTTGGTGGGAAGATGATCAATGTGCTTCGATTGAGTCTCGATGTCTCAGCTCCAGACACACAGTGCGTGTGCATACCTATCCCAGAGTGCATCTCACCTTACTCACTCAGCTGAGCCTGAACAACTGAAACCACATGGCATTAACTCTCAACTGACTTACAGTAGACTGCTCCTCCCAGATCCTTGGAAAATCAGGCAACTGCCTACCAGGCTATGGCAGCGCAGCGTTACATCTCACAAATGTTTAAAAAACCTTACAGCAGTGTTGTGTGAAAGTTACTA